GACAATGAAATATCCCAACAACAATCAGGTTCCTTTCTTTCTGCCCAACCTGCACTTTGTTTTACAATCCCTCTATTTATCGGCCCTCAAAAACTGAGAACCTTAGCACTACTACACTCAGGAGTATCTGCTTGTTTTTTAGACGAAGAATTTGCAAAGCGTCATAAGATCCCTTTAGTACAAAAATCAAAACCTGTTCATGTTGAGGTCATAGATGGGCGACCTTTATTGTCTGGTAGCATCACCCATAAATCAAAACCTATAGAAGTAACGTTTAAAGACCATAGTAGTCATATTATTTTTAATATTATTGGAACCCCATCAAATCCTATTATTCTTGGTCTTTCTTGGTTGGAAAAACATAATCCATTGAGAGATTGGAGGTTGCGGAAGATGACTTTTGCCACAAAACCACCCAAGAAAAAACCTAGTAAAAAACCTCGAAAAAAGAAATCCTTATTCATTGGAGCAAGAGCGTTTATAAGATCCTCTAAGGAAGGCACTCCATTTGTCATTTATGCGGCTCCAACTACCGAGGAGAAGATCTCAACAGCAAGTATACCGGAGCAATATAAAGATTTTGAAGACGTGTTTCAAAAGAAGAACGCCGACATACTACCGGAACACCGACCATATGATTGTACCATAGACTTGCAAGAAGGAGCACAACCACCTTTTGGTCCAATCTACAATCTATCGCAAACGGAGTTGGCAGAGTTACGAAAGTACATCGACGAGAATCTAGCCAAGAACTTCATTTGTCATTCAAAATCATCAGCTGGAGCACCCATCTTATTTGTGAAGAAGAAAGATGGATCATTACGGATGTGTGTGGACTATCGAGGCCTCAACAAGGTAACAAAGAAAAATCGTTACCCATTACCCTTGATTTCTAGTCTCTTAGAACAACTTGGACGTGCGAAGATCTTTACAAAAATTGATCTAAGGGGAGCTTATAATCTCGTACGAATCAAGGAAGGAGATGAGTGGAAGACAGCATTTCGTACAAGGTATGGTCATTTCGAATATAATGTCATGCCTTTTGGTCTTACCAATGCTCCAGCGGTTTTCCAACATATGATGAATGACATCTTTCGAGAACACCTCGACGATTTTGTTGTCATCTACTTGGACGATATTCTAATATTCTCTAAAAACAAGGAAGAGCATGAGGAGCATGTTTGTTTGGTCTTGGAGAAACTACGCAAGCGAGGACTATATGCCAAATTAGAAAAGTGTTTATTTCACTAGACGGAGATGGAATTTTTGGGATTCATTGCGACTACAGAAGGTTTGAAGATGGACCCCAAGAAAGTAGAAGCAATCATGTCTTGGGAGGTTCCGAAGACGGTTAGAGACGTACAATGCTTTCTTGGTTTTGCTAACTTCTATCGAATCTTCATCAAGAATTATTCTCAAGTTGCTGCTCCTCTCACTCGATTAACATGCAAGGATAAGTTGGAATGGGGACCTTTGGCGGAGAAGGCGTTTCAAGATTTGAAGACAGCATTTACTACAGCTCCAATTTTGGTACATCCAGACTTTACAAAGGCCTTCTATTTAGCAATTGATGCTTCAGATTTTGCTTTGGGAGCTGTGCTTTCACAAATGAGTGAAGATAAGAAGCTCCATCCAGTTGCATTCTATTCTTGGAAGTTCTCTACTACTGAAATCAATTATGAAATCCACGATAAGGAACTTCTTGCTATAGTGGATTCTTTCGAAGAATGCCGTCACTTTCTTGAAGGAGCTGCACATCCAGTAACCGTATATACGAATCACAAGAATTTGGAGTATTTCATGACGGCTCGAGTTTTAAATCGGCGTCAAGCTCGGTAGAATATGTCGCTATCTAGATTCGATTTTGTTATCACTTATCGACCTGGAAGGCAGCAAGGACTATCCGATGCTTTATCAAGGAGATCGTATCTTACACCAAAGGCTGGAGAAGCAGCGTTTGATCAACAATGTACAACGTTATTGAAGCCAGAGAGATTTCAACTTTGTGCTACTATTGTATCATTTGATGCTGACTTCCTAAACCAAGTACGTGCTATGACCATTAAAGATTCAGTAGCCATTGATATCAAGCAACGTACCAATGACGACAAGTTCAAGGTGGAGGGAGATCTTTTATACTTTGAAGAGCGATTGTACATTCCAAAAGGACTAGCACGACTCCGAGTTCTTCAATCTCGCCATGATTTTTCAGCTACGGGACATTTTGGATTCAACAAGACTTTCGAGCTTATTTCCCGAGATTTTTGGTGGCCCCAAATGTGAAAGGATGTGAAAGATTTTGTCTTCTCTTGTGACATCTGTTCAAGATCTAAGAATCCTCGGCATCGCCCTTATAGACTTCTACAGCCATTGCCAATTCCACGTCGACCATGGTCTTCAATTTCTATGGATTTCATCACGGACTTGCCATCATCAAACTCATTTGACAGCATCTTTGTCGTGGTAGATCGGCTTACGAAGATGGCACACTTTGTTCCTTGTAAGAAGACATCGTCCAGTGAAGTCACAGCAAGACTCTTTCTCGATAATGTGTATCGATATCATGGACTACCAGATGATATCATAGCAGATCGAGGTACCCAGTTCGTGTCAAAGTTTTGGAGATCTCTCTTTGGGATATTGAAGGTGGATATCAAGCTTTCTTCAGCTTTTCATCCTCAAACTGATGGCCAAACGGAACGGGTGAACCAAGTCTTGGAGCAGTACTTACGATGCAGCATCAACTATCAGCAAGACGATTGGACTACATATCTACCGCTAGCCGAGTTTGCATATAACAACACCCTCCATGCGTCGACTCAACAAACACCATTCTTTTCCAACTATGGGTATCATCCGAAGCTTGATTTATTGAGTCCGTCAACAAATAACAATCTAGCAGCTGAAGGATTTGCGAAGCAACTATCAGAGCTTCAAACTATGTTGAAGCTTCAATTACAATCCGCTCAAGAATCCTATAAGACGTCTGCAGATAGATTTCGGAATCCAGCACCTACTTTCAAAGTTGGAGACAAAGCCTGGCTTCTTCGACGAAATATCAAGACCAAGCGACCATGTGATAAGTTGGACTATCGAAGATTGGGACCATTTATCATCCAGAAGCAAATTAATCCAATGGCATACCGGCTGGAGTTACCGGCTTCTATGAAGGTACATCCAGTCTTTCATGTTTCTCTGTTGGAACCTTATCGAGAGTCATCTTTTCCTGGAAGAGTGCAATGTCCGCCACCTAGTATTGAAATCGAGAACCACGAAGAATACAAGGTTGAAAAGGTATTGGATTCACGGCGAAGGTGGGGAAAGTTAGAATATCTTGTTCATTGGTGCGGCTATGACATTAATGAGCGAACGTGGGAGCCAGCTGAAAATCTTACGAATGCACCACAAAAAGTACAGGAGTTTCATCAACGACATTCCGATAAACCTAAATCAATTCGATGATAGCTTCTTTCTAAAGCTTGTTCTCCCAACAATATAAGAAAAGGAGAGAGCACCAGCAAAATTCATAGTTGATGTAGTTATTTTCTCCAAGATAGATCGTAGTTTGGTCTTTTGATATGGATAGTCAAGAGATAGATACTATGCCAGTCAGAGTATCGCAACCGAGTAGCTCACGAAGGCGACCCCGAGATGAAGAACTACATGTACCACGACGACAACGGAGGATACCGAGTAACCGATCACTGGTGATCGTATTTGAGATCGAGCCTGCTTACGATGGTCAACCAGAAGGCGTGTTTGCAGGAGAATTTCACAATGAGGACACGAAAGTTCATGCTTGGTCAGAAGTCGAAGGCGTCGGCCACTACCGTTGGCTTCAAGGGTCGATGAACCACTTGCCTCGTGAACAACAGTTGGAGTTCATAGCAGAAGTTATGCGACAGATCTTCATTTTTTTGCGTTGGTATTGATCAACAACATTGCTTCTCAGAGACCTCGAAGCTAAAGGAGGGGGTGATGTTAGGGACATATTCCTTAGAACTTTCTAGAGAGAAGTTTCTAGAACCTTCTAGAAAACAAGCCTCTTGAACCTTCTAGAAGAGAAGCCTCTGGAACCTTTTAGAGAGAAGTTTCTAGAAGCTTCTAGAAGGGAAGTCTCTGGAACCTTCTAGAAGAGAAGTTTCTAGAAGCTTCTAGAAAGGAATCCCCTGGAACTTTCTAGAAGCTTCCTAGTTAATAGAAGTAGCTCGAGAAGCTTCCTAAGTAGGAGTATATATAGGGATCGAGGCTAAAGAGTTCTTCAGTCTCGACAACACATCTCTTGGAGTTCTAGCTCACCTTTTTGGTGTTCTTCTTGTACTCATCTGTTTAATCTAGTTCTGCCACTTCTTCTTGAACTTCTTGTTAGATTTCAAGTCTGTATTTTGTGTCCGTGACAAAGACTTGTAAAAGATTTTTTTTTTTAAAAAAAAAGGTTTGGGCTACAAGCACATCCCAAGGTACTACATGCACACCCTAAATTGCTATATGCACATCCAAGAAAAATGGAGGCCTCTGATTGGCTAGTTACTATAGTGTGGAGCTTGATGTCTGCAATGAGGGTCAAAAAAAAAATTTGAATTTCAACTTTGTATGGACCAGGTGATTTTATAATCTCAATGCTCTTTTTTTGGAATCCTAGACTTGCAAATTGCGTCTCAGTTCTTCTCTACCATGACTCCCTTCTTCCTTCTCTTTGCTCTCTTCTCTCTCTTTCTTGCTCTCTCCCTCTTTCATATCCAGCCTTCTTCCACAAGACTCAAAAACAGCATACATCTCACAAGAAGAGCTGCTAAAATACACCCAGACCAATTTACTCATACAAGCAGCTGCTGCCCTCTTGGTTATATGTATCAAATAAATTTCAAATTACAGTAAAAGTTATTATGTTCCTTGGAATTCTAATTATTATGCAGCAAGATAATTCGTTTGCTATGACCATAACCATTACTTTAATACATTACATCAACCATATTCAAGTACATCTTCGACATAAGCAGTGACCAAATAACATGAATTGGAATTAAGACTTGTTGGTAGTCAGTTTACAACCTTTGGTGAAACCTTATGTCAACATAAGGTCTCAGACCATAAACAATCAAGAGCTAAAAACATTCTACCAACATGTTCACCGAAATCTCCAATCTCAAGCAATAAAATCCAACATTATCTACGAGACAGCTTTTGTGAAGAAATCTCAAGAATCCTCCAAGAATGCCAGCAGGCTACTGACAGCCCATGTGTAATTCGACATATTTGGCTATTCAGTTCATTGCTGAAAAGTTATGAATTTGCTGCAGAAAATACATCACAATACTCCAGTACTTGACAAACTTCTAAAGAAAGAAGGATTGGAAGACCTGTGCTGCAATAAATACATCCCCAGTAAAACTCGTCCTCCTGACACTATCCTGCAAGTCCTAATGACAATGGGCTGGCCTCTAGGCAGTACAATCTCTTGTGCCATAGTAGCAAAATTGGCTTAATCTGAAATCCGCATCTCTACGCCCATAAGATCCTTCATCAACTCGTATGTCACAAATGCCAGCGCAATGGATGGCACAACCTGAAAAAACCAGATCCGTTAGAAAATGAGAGTCGTGAGGCATTGAGTCAGTGGAAGTCGTTAAAAAATGCAAATGCTGTAGTCTAAGCATGCACAAACAATACACGTGAGTACAAGGATAATACAAGGGCATAGATGGGCACCTTGACAGAATTTGGCACTAGCCCCTTGTAAAGAGCTCCAACACCTTCGTATTTCACAGTTTTTCTAAAAGCATCTACCATGCCTGTGTACTGCATTGGTTGCTTCACTTGCCCGTCGGCTGTGACAATCGGTGAGGCAGACTTCCAACCAACCATTTGCAAGCGTCGGCGAATTACGTCGAGTGGGTAGGCAACTGTCTGACCAACGGTGCCAGCTGCAGCTCCACAGCCTAGCTTGGTAAGAACAGCCAAATCAGCTCCATCATCTGGTTGCCAATGAGGGTGCTTCAGGATCCAGTCCTTAAGAGATTCGTAGACTGCGAAATTGAGCCCAACGTATGGAACCTGCAGCACCCAGTCATAAGAAGAGTATGCATCAGAGTTCACGAATATCATACGACAAACCGCAGTTATTAATCATTGCCAGCGCCGAAAGGAATTCCCTATAATGGGTTGTCCTGAACAAAAGAAGCAACTACATTTATCAATTAGTGCTAATGTATGTGCATCGATTCAACATTAACATGTTACTAAATTTGGGGTCAACTCCAACAAACCGTGACATTAGTACTTTATGTACTGATTCTTCCTTAAATACTATTTCAACTTAATCTACAACCCTTTTTGGTCTTTCAAACTCAGAGTGACAAGATGGATCATAACAATATACCACTCCAATAACAGATGGCAGCCATCCTTTGTATAAAGCTCTTGCACCCTCTTCCTGAATAATGGTCCGGAAAGCATGGTACATGCCTTTATAACGATATGGCGAATCCTGAGTCTGTAGGACCACCCAATGTAACAAATATAAGTGCTTAAAATGAGGAACAACAATAAGTGCACCTACACTACTAATTGAGGCACAAAAAGAACATTGGCCACAACAAGCACACTCATGCCAAAATATTCTAGCCTCACTAACACAATCGAGTAGCCAAAACTGAGTAAAAGTTTAGAAAACGACCTGCACTGTCAACCGTCCTCGCACCATATCCATGGGATATGTAGCTGACATTGCAATAATACCAGCACATGCTCCAGCTCCCAAACGGAGAACCGGAGTTAGCTCAGCATCGGCTGCATGAAACATATAATGAATCAGTAGGATTCCAACAACAGAGTTGTCCATACTTTCAAATAAAAATATTCTGCCTTCTATTGATCACTGACGGCTAGGCAAATACAATTGCTCTACGAACACCTCAGGTTTATAGAAAACATGAAAAACCAACAAATAATCTTTTGTGGATAGAGTAATTACGTTGGCCTGACTCCTTTCGATAAGCCCACAAAATTGATCTGCCAAATAAAAGAAAACCCATACAATGAAAATCACAACAGAATGTGAAAGCTCATCTGATAAAGATCCTGCAAAAGATTTCAGACCACACAAAAAAGATCGAATCTCTCAGTAGTACTAAACACGGCCCTCCACATGCAGTATAAAGGAGTTTAATTGCTGAGGTTACACACTTGGACGCTTCTTCATAAGCGAAAAACTTCACAGCAGAATTGGGAATGATCCGGGCACAATTAGTGCCATTGCCCTTGAAAAATCCACGTATCCCTTCGCTCCCCCAAATGGACTTCAACCCCTGGATAGTGCCGCTGTACTTTGGATTAAATGGATTTTGCACCTGCATAGATTTCAGAGAAACTCAGTAATCACTTTCCTTATGAATCAAAACTAAATTGAAGTTCAAAATGTAGACCAAACCATATTGGCTTGCCTGGCAAAATCATGTTATAATAGGCCAGCCGACAAATATGAGGTAAATAACGTGCACAAACAAAATGCAGAAAACCGCACTTGTAGAAGAATCTTCATACGCTCCAATGGAGCAACAGCAGTGCGAGATCTGCACCCAAACAAGGACAAGCAAAATATCATGAAAAACTTGAGAGTCAACCCCCAGAATGAGCAGATAAAATTTTAAAAGAAAAAAATAAAATAGACACAATAGAGAACGATGTCGCGATCTCAGGAACACAGGTCGAAGCACTGAAGTCACTGCAGCTGAAGACACTTCATATGCTGAAGAATACCATCAACCAACTCAAATAACGTAATCAAAAGCGATATACCTCAGTTTGTGAACATAAAATAGCGAACCCTATTCATCACAATTGAGTAAAACTAATCCAAATCAGTTCCATCCAAACACCGATACCAATATGAAATCTTATTCTCCATCTGAGTGGAGACACGGTTATTTGAAATGCGACACGACCACGGACTTGCAGAAAACAACCAAAATTTAAGCCAAGTTTGAAGTCTTTTGCCCCAGCAAGAGAAAGTATGGATCCGAAAGCATTTTCGACATACATTTCTCAAACTCAATGCAAAAAAACTGCATGAACGAAAGCATGCAACCACAAATTACAAGTTACAAAAGGGAGTTAATCTCGATGAGGACCGCGAGACTTACACTCCACCAGCCACACCTCCGGCGATGAGAGATTTACAGATGGACAGAATTGCATTGCTGGAAGGAACCTTTACTTCTTCAGTGGCTAACTTGGCTTCCTGAGCCAGCGTGACTAAAGTAGCCGCTGCCCCGTCTTTGCCATCGACGTAAAGTGGAGAATTTTGACAGTATGCGGTGTTCCCCTGACCCATACCCTGCGAACTTCCCTCGGGAGGATCCTGATCCGCGAACTTATTGAACCTAGACGTCACATCTGTCTGAGAAACCATCGGATAGTGGGCTTCCCGTAAGCTCAACTCACACCTGGGACGATGAATTTAGCGACAAGGTCAGCTATCAAGCTGTCAGACCGCAATTAAGCGGAATAAGAAAAAAATCACTGGCAAGGAGCTTTCTGTCGACACAAAAACTCGCTGAATTCTCTTGAGGAATCAAACGCTCTGATTTCATGCGATTTGGTCACCCAAGAGGCACCATCTGCGATGAAAAATATGTTCTCCGAGAGAAAAATAAAATAAAAAAATAGCGCAGGACCTTCAAAGCTTCAATTCTAAAAAAAAAAATCCTTAAAGATACGGTATCGATCAACAAGAGTAAGAGAGACGCGTGGTTGTGTACCTGTTCCCGAAAATCCCAACTCGGGTCGTGGGACTTGAATGTCGAAACACAAAGCCCCTGAGCAACGACTAAAAAGGGGAGCGTCGACACCGATCACCGATCCAACACCGAAAATGCGGTCCTGGCACGGCGCCCCCCGAATGCCACGCTCACACCAGCTCGAAAACTTAGTCGAAGGCACACAACAGAGCATCAAACGCCACAATCCACTCTGAAACACAATAAACCCCCGGTAATGTCACAAGTCACCGCCGCTGGACCACACCTGCCCCAAAATTCCTCACTCCTCTCCAGGGCTTCCCGCTCACACCCAATGACAAACCCTACACACCTCCAGCGACACTCCCAAGAACCTTTCCAATTCTTAAAGCCCACGACCTGATAGTTCAAACTGTTTCAGCGCAAAGTCGCAGAAACAGCAATAGTTGTCGAGGACGATGACGGCAACGACGATGACGGTATAGAAAAAAAAAAAAAAAAAAAAAAAAAACGGAGAAAAATTTAAACCCTCAAGCCCTCACGATCAACAATCCAACACACGACTCCCACACCACCGGATTTTTATTTTTATTTTTTTTTCTTAAGAAAAACTCCACACTGCAGAAGACGCACATGCCACTCCTACCCCCCCTCGAAACCGATCCCCGGCGAGACCTCACGCTCGCTCGCTCACTCACTGCCTCACCCCAATCAATCCCCGCCCACTCCCACCACTCCGAAACTGAAACCAAACAAAATGCACCAACAACTCTCACAATAAACCACCAACCCAAAACGCGATAAATAAAATAAAATAAAATAAAATACCCAAAAAAGGTATCAAGAGTGCAGTGCAAGCAGTGGTAGAATCGGACACAGAAAGGGAGGAAAAGAATGAATGCAGATGAGAAAAAAGGAATGAAGGGGAGGAGCAAGCTGGGCGAGACGGTGGTGCAGCAGCAGCAGCAGGGCAACAAATCAAACAAACGAGCAAGCAAGGAAACAAACAAACATGCAATGAAGGAAACAAGGGAAAGGAAAGGAAAGGAAAATGGAAAGAAAAGGAAAGGCAAATGGAAAGGAAAGGGAAGGGAAAGGGGAGGGAGCTCTGCCCATGCCACGCCAAGCCACGCCACGCCAGCAACGCCGCGCACGACCCTGCCTTGCTGGCGTCTCCCCTTTCTGACGTGGCATTCCTAGGGCTTACGTGGCACACGCTTTTCGACCCAACGCATTCCTCCTCCAACCCCTCCAACCAACCAAGCGTGGATACCGTGTAATATTATTATTATTCTTCTTATTATTCTTCATATATGTAAGTTCTTCTCTGGGATGTGTGCGCATTCCACATCATCCCAGTTTGGTTTACAGTTTTACCATTGCTGGGTTCAATCTCTGCATTGTGCTTTATGAATAAACACTGCTCATTGGAACCATTCTGTGTTTCATTCCCTTTTCTTGCCAATATAATTTTCTTAGGGCTTAATGAGGGCTTATGCTCGTTGATTTTTATGTATTGGGTCATGATTTAAGGATTCTTTTTTATTTATTTTTATTACTTTGTGTTTCTAAAGTATTACAAAAAATCCTTTTTTGAGGGGTGGGGACGTGGCATGTGCCACGTCAGCCTTGGGAGGATGGGGGGGGGCAAGAAAGGGCTATTGGGACTTTTTATAACGTAGGGTATGACATGATTTGAAAAGTATCAAGTTAACCAATAGAATAAATTTGCAATCACAATTGCAAGTGATTTTTTTGTTTTAAATGAAGTAATTAATTGGACATATAAACCCAGTAGTCTTTGGGATGATGATTGTATATTTCATTACCTTTCAATACAATACGTTAAAATGTTTTGTGAGTCTTTCGACCTTGAATATATAGTTTACCATCTTAAATAAATTCATTGGTTATATTTTAAAATATATTTTGAGCTTTTTAAAAGAATAAAGAATTTATTAACAATGTTCAAATTAAAATAATTAATACACGTTATGTTTTTAAACGTAAATTTACATAAAAAAATTAATTGCTTGCATCATTTAACTGCAAAAAATAATGCATTTAATTCTGAAAATGTTGCAAACAATACTTAAAATTAAACTCCCTTTTATTCCACAATTTTTAATATGATATTTTTATACAATTTAAATTAATTTAAATGAGCCAACCTATACAAAAACCACAGAAAAGAATAAAAGAGAAAAACAATACCAAACAAACAAAAAAAACAAACATGAAGCATAAAATGGTCTTAATCTAAATTTTAATGAGCTATTGTTAGCATAACAAAGACTTCGACATTTTAGTGTATTATCTTGACCTTGAGCATTGTAGAGTGAGATATTTACCAATGTTGAATGTGTGTTCTTTTTATTCATGTATTTATTTACACATCAATGGCATTGTTAACAATACCTTTTGTAGTTTTTGAAATTAACATTTTTCATGTTCAACTTGTAAACAATATATTACAAAAGAAAATAATTGAAGTTCTGATAGATGGATAGAGAGATGTAAACATGCTAAAAAAAAGACATGCTTTAGAGAAATTTCCAAAGCTTGATAATTCATATAAATAATTTATGCAAAAAATACGTAGAATTACTTTAATATAACACTTTATTGAAATTATTGAAATAAAATTTAAAGGAAAGTAACTAAGATGTAAAGTGAACATTTGTATGTAACCTTCAACAAACAATTCATTAAATCAAACAATATCTATGCTGATAACATAATGTTTTCTATCTTTGGAATCACTACATCAGAATGCTCTAGTTACAAATACATGTGGTAAATGCAAGATTGGTACATCGTAATGCTTGCTTGTACAAACTATATTTATTTGTTTATGTATACATTTAATATTCCAAAAAACACCTTCTTTAACAACAGTGCTATTAATGAGATTTTGGCCCTTACTGTAAGTATTTTTGGAAGTAGGCTTATGATTTGTGTGAGTTATAAACTTTGATAGTTACTTTAAATATATTAACATACTTTCATTGAAAGAGTATGTTTTCTTTAATACATAATTGATTATCTATGTCATGCCAAGTTTAGGATCAAGTCAATTATTACAATTGAAAGAATTTAATTAGAATAATTAACCACAAGTATAAATAAATAAATATCTTAATAAATAACTTGGTTTTATGATCTAATTTGATTGTTGTTCCACAGAAGACGTGTTTTTACCAGAGTTAAAATCTTGCATGTACAAATTAGGGTTTTAGACACAACTATGTACCTGCTTTGTTTACACATTCTCATAGACTAAGACCAAGACAGGAAACAAGTTTTTCATTTTCATTTTTATATTACACATAAAGTGTTAATAATATTTTCTGTGCATGCTTTGAATATTTCTAATTATATTTCCCTTCATTAGTAGAGAGGCATATTCTATTGAAGGCATATTCATGAAACAAATTTTGTGGTTTGATGTAAACCAAATGTAACAATACATAAGTAAGAAAATTCCTTCAAATTCCTTCAAATCTTGAATTTTTGTAAATCCTTACTCAAAACATTTAGGTCTTTGAATCATATTGTTACAACTTGGCCAATGATTGCATAAAAATTGGATATTAAAACACAAATTATAGGACAAACTAGATTGGTAGTGAAACGATCATAAGATTAAGAAAAAATCAAAACATAACAAAACATTGTTTAATGAAATATATCCAAAGCATATTTTGCTTTACGCTAATTTACTATTTATAGTATGAGGTATCGACATAATCGTGCTCATTAATTTTTAGTTTTTATTGCTGTGAAAGCGTATTCTAAAACTTCACAGCCTGGGTGCTATTAGTAAATTTTCATATATAGTTGTCATTGATATTCGAACATGTGACATACTTCATAGTACATCTTCTGGAATTATATAATTAAGCAAGTTCAAACACGTGTCTTCCTTAAACAACACGCACATAAATCAGATTTAATGCAAGTTATTCATCTTTGTTGAACAAACATTACAGGAAGTACAAAGGAACCCAACCCATTACCTGAACATTCGGTTGTCTAAAACTGAACTAGATGTTACGCAAGAACTAAGATGACGTCTACACTGGAAAGAAGGTGCTCAAACAATCAGTAAGATGTCCAAAACGAACCAGCAAGCTCACTCCAAGTCCAGAATTCGGCAGCACCAACAATTACAAAGCAGTGCTCGCGCATCTGCAGGATATCTGATCAGGTAGTATCAGTTAGGATTATTCCTTAAGTTAGTAATCCACCGAATTATCATGCAGTTGAGAGTACTTACAGAACAGGCACTGACAGATTAATCTCACGCTTAACATACATTCATGAAAGTGAAATCAAGGAGAGTTGTTTGGTACCTATTCAAGCTACACGTTCATTAAATCATTACAAGCCCTCCACTGATTGTGGGTGACAGGAAGTTTCAGGTGCTAATGGTTTTGGATTCTTGTGCAAGCGTAAGAGTCTGTAGTCTCCAGAAGCGGCGAGAATATCAGGTGGAGGTTGAAAGAGAGCTGCATCCACCTCAGTGATGACAAGAGCAGAAGTGACCCTGCACATGCAAGGAAAAAGCTTATCTCTGAGGTCAGATCTAACAAGGATAAATTGAGTCAAACTCCCTCCGTCTCATATTTATGAAAAGGTCCTCAACTAAGTGAGACCAAGAATAATATTCAGTGATAATGGAGCCATACTCGAAACAATATAAGTTATGTATGTTTACTGTGGAAACAACATACCAAGGTGCTGCTTCTTCCTGGATAGCCACCACTGCCTCTCGAGGTGAGTCGAAGAATGCTGTTGGCAGTCTGCAAAATCCAGAAGCATCAACAGGACTATTAATGCAACTAAAGCAACAGGACTTCATATTACTAGTCTTCGCAATTTGCCAACACTCCAGGCAGTTTAATGTTTGTCGAACAGATGGATGACTAATATGGTGCTCAAGGTAAGGTCGTATTACAGGGCTGACCAATTGACTCTCTAAACGTAGACGATACAACAGTTCACATTATACCGCAACGATGCCCACAATCCAATGGTACGCATTCATCAAGTCCGTGAATCACTAATTACAATCGTATCTTGTGCGCAAATGGATCACCCCAACATCCTATCTGTGCCTAAAATAATGGGTAAAAAATCTAAGGCACTAGAAAAGATGATTGGAGGGAACTGACTTGCTGTAATAAACCACGCTTGGCATTCTCGGCCCCACCATAATAAGCGGCTCCCCAGTTTTCTGCCCACGGAATAACACTAACAATTATTAGCGCTTACTAGCGCAGTAAACATAAGGATCTGTTGTGGCTTGGTTTAGATGTGAGACACGACTTTAACCTGAAATCACCACTACGGAATATAATTAAGTCCACACACAATAGTAGCTACAGAACACATTGGTGGGCAATCCAAGCGTCAAATTAGTAATTTCTTTTCTTTAAGAACACACCTGTAGATGGAGCTACCTAAGATAATCGGTTAAGGTGAGCATAAGGTCTAACAACAGCCAAAGCCGCCAAAATTACAGTGCAAAAAATCAGAGTTGCATTTCCTGATGGTATTACAGCACGAACTGCTATGAGAGTTATAGGACAAAAACTAACCTGTTGTGCTGTGGCCGTGTAGGCCAACTGTCGAAGGGGAGCCTGACGAACACAATCAACCAAACTATACACAGGTGTCAAGAATGCTCCAAGAAAACAAACCATCACAGTTGCATGCACTACCCAAGTTGGCAGAAATGTTCTTGCAGACTTTTCCATTGGACTTTCTTCCTTCCGCTCCACTGGTTGCATCCACGAACCAAGAGCACTACTAAACTCTGCCGTTCGAAATGTGACTATTCCAGCAAGTCCAAATAGCACACAAGAAATTCTATGCAAATGCCTTTCACTTATGAGTCGTCCTATTTCGGCAGCCTGCAGAAGATCACAAGCTTCTCTATCAAGAAAATATTGTTTGTAGGTGTTGACAAATAGAAGGCTTACAGCAGATTTTTCTCCCTACCACACGGTAATAAGAGTGATCAGGTCATTCAACGAGAACCATGACCTTGCTGTGATATGCATCCAATGATTGTGCGTAGATCAACAGAAATCTGCCAGAAAGAAGACAGAAGAGTAACAAGGGGAAGCGAAAACTCACCACTTTGTCACCAGACATCAGGAGGAAGCCCGGCGAAAACCAGAACAAAACCGCCAACAACTCATACAATACTGCAGGGAAAAGGCTCGAGAGTATTCCACTCTTGTCTTGTGATATATCATTGGATGCATGTGTAGCAAAAAGAATAGCAATTGCTGGTGCCACAGGCAAGTAGTACGATGGCAGCTATGTGGATCAAAAGAGCTTGTTTAGTACTGCGAATTCGTCACCGATCTTCAACCAGTGAAGCAAAAAATTTAACGCGCATGACCTAAATTAAGTAGACTCATTATACATTAATAGAACTAAGTAGAACTTCCGCATGCCAATGATTCAGAGAAGTAAAACAGCTGCCAATACAAGATTTAAAGTCTTAGTTTACCTGACTGGAGGACAGAGCGAAGAGCACAAAACCTGCAATCAGCCAACTTGCTGCAAAAAGCGGGAGAGTTTGACACCTTCTGACCAGCCGCCAAGACTGCCTCCATGGACCAGCTTGCAGGAGTGCTGGAGGTATGGACAATGACCAGGGGTAATACAAAACGGCTACCACAGCCAAACCATACCACCACGGTCTGCCTCCATGATGATTGACACCTTGCATAAAACGCTGCATGCCAAAAACTCTGTTTGCAAATTAAACAGGACTAAATCTTACAGGAAGGAGACGACAACACACTCAAATAAACATTTGAAGGTTTCAATTTTGAAGCACCTTAAAGGGTACGTAATTGATTGCAAGTTGTACCTCAAGTGGTCACTAGTGAGATGAGAAAGCGATTAAGAATGAACAACCGTCATTCTGCTGATGATAGTCTAGTACCTCGAGATTGTGATATCCAAAAAAAGTAAAGATGTAAGTAAGTCCGTGCTTTACGGCCATTGCGCCATACCAGGGTACATTTATGATTAACAGCGTCATGATACTCTTCCAAAAAGGTATCTCCTCACTGCCATCAAGAGCCATTGTCAAAACAAAGCAATGATCCCACTGGGGTCAAAATGAGATATAACCTGCTGCAAATACTTGACACAAGATCTAAGTGAAGGATAAATTGTTAAGAGGATGTGTTCGGCAAAAAATTTCACATGGATATCAAAAATCAATATTGGTTTCAAGCCTGGTTAAGACATAGCTGGTCTAGAAAGGAGAAAATCGAACAGAAATTAGGAACAACGAACACTCGCCCACCATATGAACAGGAAATCGGTGGTTCTGATTAAAAGTAGCAATGCTAGGCATCACGGATCTTACAAAAGGACTTCCAAAAGTTCTCCTCTGCTTAGAAGAAACAATGCACAGACCAACACCTGTAGTCTCAAATCAGCAAGAAAGTCAAGAGTATTTCTCCAAATGTTGCATAAGGACAAGGATAACGAATACATGCATAAATGCATCTTTGAACTCGAAAATTGTTATGACGGATTGTACCAGTTGATTATTAAGCCTGATATCTTTTGTTAACATATCATGTGGTTCGGAATATACTCACAGGAAGTGCAATCCCAACAGGTCCTTTAGAAAGACAAGCAAGTCCCATAAAGACTGCCGAGAATATATAACCCCACTGGTGCTTGGGTGGGGTGAGAGAACGACCAACGTAGCCCCAGAAAAAGCTTAGCAGTGATGCGCCAAGCATACTCGTTAAAAGCATGTCAGACAAGGCTGTGCTCCCCCAAGCCACGACCTTCATCAATCGGTTAGTTAAAATCGTAACGGAACGACTGATTTAACCTCATACAAAGGAGGAAATGACTTCGAACAAAAGCCTCGAAACTCATCTTGCACAGCAGTTGTAGCCGCACTTCCTCGACTTTGAGTGAAGTGAAATGAGAAAGGTAATCACATTTGAAGTTTTTTGAGCGATAGAGATCCTTAGCGAATCCGTATTCAGCGCATCCCACAAAGCCAATACCAGAAAATTAACTGACATGGGTTGGTATTCAAACCAACAGGGGTCAAATAACTCAACCCCATACCTCATAACTCGCTTAAAGGTTTGCAGCAACAAACCTCGAGATTGAGAGCAAATGCTGAGATTGTGATCACTGCTGGGATATAGTGTTCTCCGACAGACGATAAAGCTTGAGACTTTTCCGATTGTGTCTCTACATCATTATATGAATTGCTTGTCCCGAATTGCTTCACAGTCGATAGAAGACCCATAAGAAGTCCTAGTGCACAGATAGTTGATGGAAGCCTCAACGCCCAAACACTCGGACCGAACAACTTCCCCTGCAATGGAAACAACGGCATTAATGCCAAGATGTCTCAGGAATTCAGCAGGGAGCTCATGATCAAGTTTAGTTTCGAAACAGCTGACAGACTATATCGCTAGATAAGTGGGAGACGAAAGCAATTATCAGTGCTTTGTCTAGCATAGACACAATTAAGCAATATAAAGAGAATGCCTACTGAAAGGGCCATGAGCCAGTAGATGAGAATGGGCTTGTCAAAGCGAGGCTGCGCATTGAACTGGGGAGTAACATAATCACCCGTCGCTAACCTGGAACACAACATACATCTGTCATGCTGCGGAATCCAAAATACTTTCAATTAAGTAGCGCTGGTGATGGGATTGTATCCATCTCTTTAGACCCGATTGAGTTGCATACTCAGCAAAGTTCTGCCAGAATTTGTGAGAAGCGTGGAATCATTCGCTTCCATCATATACAATGTTGAGCAAAGCGTATTGTTATGCATATATTGAACCCTAGAAAATGGTCGAGGAAGGTTGTCATCATCTATGTACAGATATGAAGGAGAGAGTCACAACAAGGAAGATCCACGCTTTGAAACTAATTCCCAGTTGAGTATTTTACTAACGAGCTGAGTCTAAGTACTCCATGGTGGTCACAACATCCGGAAACAATACAAACGGAATCGGCATTGTAACATGCCATCATGCCTTACAGTTTACAAGTCGGGAGAGAAAGAGTTTCGAGAACTTACATTTGACGAGCAGCTTCAGCGAAAAGAGGCTCGGTGTCATCGATCAGCCCCGACGCAGCCAAGTTCCGGAGCCACGCAATGGCTGCCAACAGGAGCACTATGCCGGCGGTCCACAGCTTCTTCTCCGTTGGGAGCAAGCTGTGCATCCATTTCACCAAATCAGGAAACACAATAGGCTTGTGCAATGCGCCCCAGGCTTTGCTCATAAATCCTTCCCTGCTCATCTTCCCCTCGCCGCCTGTTCCACCATCAAACCTGGCGAACGGTGACATTGCCCCAATTCTTCGAAATTCCCGACCAAAGCTACTGCACATGGGTCCATCCCGAAAGAGACTCTTTCCAAGGCTGAGTCGAGTACAAGTGCAGGGGTTTTCAACCATAATCGACACCCGGTGCTTGGGATCATACGAAACTCTGCTAGTCCCTAAACTGCTTCTACCCACACCCAATGCAGAAGAACCTCGAGTGATGAGCCCCCACTCCATCGAACTGGCAAAGTGCTCGACCCGGAGCGTCATTTCTGCTCGATGCAGCAGCATGTACATTGCAAAAACATACACCCAACGAGAAGAAGCATGTGCAATGCAATTCAGACTGCCATCAGCCTGGCTGGAAATTATATTAAAAACCTTCTCTTCAGCTCTAAAAACAACAACCCACAAGTTCACTGTTCATTGCACTACGAATTCAACCACGCTGCCCCTTTCTCACTCAATCTTACAGGCCATTTCTTCCTCGGAATCCTAAACCCTAAAATCTCAGGCAAAAGTGTTCATTCGTGCTTTCAGAAATCTGGGTTGTTGTTGTTGTTCTCGTCTCACCCGAAGAATTCATCGTCACTGAAATTTTGTGCAGACTGAGTCCAAAATCTCGACAGAGTTGCTCATGTCTTGAGCAGGATGGGATCTAACTAACCCTCATTTCGTCATCTCTCTTCCTTGTTTTGTCATATCTGTCGGTAGACTATCTACCGACAAGGTGCTGGGGCGGTGACAGGCGATTGACTTCCTCAGATGCTGACATAGTATCAGTTCATGATCAGTGTATATCCATTTGATCTAAATCACGTTGGTCCATAATTAATATATATTTTTCGAAGGTCTGTGCATATTTTTGGCTATTGAAATTTTTAATTTCTCACTTTCTCTTCCGTGTGTCTGTAGATTGTACATGCTCCACGAATTTCTATGCTTTTTTGTTAAATTTGCTCATGGTTGATCATTTTAGCGAAGTTTATTTGTTTATTAGATTGCTTTAGATAAAGATAAATTTCTTTGTAGTACTTAACATGATTTGTATAATTTCTTTGTTATCTGATGTTAGAATCTATGTGTAAATATATCTCATGAATATTTACACATAATAGCAATCATTGCAAAAATAAAAATTTGCTTACTTGTTAGATATACTATTAGTATTTAGCTTCCCAATCCATCAAACAATTAATTACTTGCATCTTTGGACAATATTTCATAGAATTGTTTAATTCAGTACTCATTAATATTTATTCAAAATGAGCACATGTTTTTATTTTTTATTTTTATTTATTTTTTAATTTCATTTTTCTAGTTATTTATTGTTTATCCACATATTTTATTTCTTTTTCATCGAGTTATTTTAAAACATAAGGACTAAATAAAATTTGATTGATGATATTATTTAAAACACACTTCTTTAAATTTGAATATTAATATGACATAACACTAGCATAATATACAATATTATGATTATGCAAAACAACCATATTATTCACAAGCATTATTTGTTATATTTGTATTCTTCTTACTATTATAACAATGTTATTAGATACATTTAGACTCATTCATTGTGACAAAATCAAACTACTATAATTAAACAAACTTTAAATTATATAATTTTTATATATGACAAGCAAAAATCACTTAAAATTGTATTTAAAATTCATTTGTGATGCTAAAAGCTACAATGTTTAATCAAAAAATATGTATCTATATATATACAATTCTTTATTATTATATACATTTAATTATTTTATATTATTTATTAAAATACCAAAATAAGCAATAAGGTATACAAGTTAACAATAAAAACACATCTATTTATTTATTTCTTTGATTCTGTAAGTTTCAGATAATATTTTTGTAAAAACCAAATCTGAAAATGAGTAAATTAGAAAGAATTTCATTTTCTCTAGGACACCCAGCTGAGCACACAAAAGCTGGCTGGAAGTTGGAAATTGCAAGTATTGAATTAACATTTCATGGATGACAGCTTAATGTACTTCTAGTAAACTAATGATCACCATTGAAAGAAAATCAAGGAACACTGGGCTTCAATTAGAAGCTCTTCCCAACTACATACACATGGCGTGGTTCAGGAAAGCCCAAAAAATAACGTTGCAATCATGAGAACAAGAAAATCACATTAGGAGTTAGATTACAACTCTCCAACTTAAAATTAAGTACCAAACCATCACTCGGTACTCTGGCAACTAATTATTGAAAGGATTTCCATCAATATCGTCTGCTTCACATTGCAGTCAACCGTGAGGTCCACAAGCAAACCTCAACAAGCTCCAAGCTTTTGAAATCTATTTTATCAATTACTTGATAATTCAAAGGACTGCTGCATGGTTCTTGTTACTGAGAAGAAGTAATTTGTCTAAAAATGCACATTACAAAAATAGTCATCGAACAAATTTCCATCCGGTGATTTGTTTCATTCAGTAAGTGAACTTCCTCGTTGTAATACATTCAGTAGCCATCATTAAGGATACCTTAATGCGGTAAACCCTTTTCTTTAAATCCAAATAAAAAAATTCTCACGTCAACATGCTCTTCGAATCTCGAACTCTTGGTCAAGCCCGACGTAACAGTCTGACACCAAATAGAGTTTGATAGGCTGCACAAACACAGACGAAAAAAATGTTACAAGTGAACACCATGGTATTTGAAGTTAAGAGAAGAACTTGGTAAGACCTGTCCTTGCTACGTTGGTATTACCAAGTACAAACAGTGATCCCAGATTCCGCAAATACATCAATTAATCTAAGTGCTTCCTGACAGGAGCTGTACGATATGGAGATTAATCAGAACCTATCGAAGCCAAAAAGCCAAGAAAGAAATCCAAAGGAGCTAGAGAAGTCTTCAAAATACTGCTGAGCAAGACTCTACCTCAGATTCAGGCTTCAAATGCTTTGGTAGAACCAAATTTGATCGCAAGTGTTCCAAGAATGTGACCCGCTTTAGTGCGTAGACCTCACGCGTCTTCGGGTTTCCAGCCACAAGCCACCAGCCTTCGTCTTTGACCTACAGTTTCAGAATACTGCTAAGTTAACTAGTTTAAAGGGCTAAAGATTTGTGCATGTAATGTAAACTGAAACTATGGTAGAAAAGAAACCAAATCTACTAAAGCACTACAAAGAGTTAACGATATTCCAATCTTGAGAGCAAGTGAAATCTAGAAAGATCCAACCTTTGGAAAATGGGGAACGTAAGCCCTCGCATTTGGCATCCGTTTTAAAACGCGTCTGGAAACTTCAACACGCAGAACCCACTCTTTGCTCTTATCTCCTCCGCTTGGTTCCAACTTCCATTTTACTTCCGTACGAGGCAATCTCATCCATACCTGCAATACTTTCAGTTAATCTTCAATGCCTTCAGAATACTATGAATGAGACAATCCACTATGTCATTGATCACCGACTTATTTTCTCGTTGCTAGAATTTCTATATAGGACACTCTTGGACAAGTACCAAGCATACAAAAGCAAAACATAAGAAGACCAAAATTAGAGCTGATTAGAGCAAAAGCTGATAGTCTAACAGAGGAGCGCCAGGATCACAGAAAAAAAGCCATTCTAAAGATGAAACCCAAGCTCTAGAACCATTAAGTAGAAAAAAAGAGTGAAGTACCGCTTACGCACATTCAGAAATTCTGTGACCTGTGGAGGGCCAATCACAGTCCTTAAAGCCCCTCTTACTTGATCTGCCGTGCTTGAGAGCAAATCGTTTCCAGATACTATACCACGATCTTTAAAAACAGACAATACATCACTGTTCACGTATGGCAACATCTTCAGCGCTAATCGATCATCCTTCTCCCACCAAAGGCCCTACATAGATGCACAATGCACGAATCAAAAAACACGTCAACATCCACGGTATTCTGCACATAAGAACAGTATTTAAAACTATTTAAAACTGTGCTAAACAAAATGAAGACGCAGTGCTTGAAGTAAAGATAGAGACATCACAGCCGGTTGCCCAATCAAAAAAATGACGGCATTCTTGCTAAAGTTCATGGCGACCAAACCCACAAAATGCACAACCACGGTTCAAGACCAGCAATGTCGTAAAGCTTTAGAGATTGCAGAATCGAAGAGATACCTGCATGATCATCTGAAGAAGATGCATAGTGGAAAGAGCAGTTTCGAGCCAGCCACCATTAGCAGCCACATCTACCATGGCTTGCAATACACGTATGCTTTGGTCCAATACAGACTTGGTATCCGTAACGTAGTCGCTTACAGGTAGATCAATCCTTGAGAAATGAGCCTGCTCATTCCATTGTCCACAAGGTTAACAAGATAGTCAGATATGATAGGTACAGAATAGAAAACTTAAAGCTTGATTCCAATTGCACGCTTCCTTGGATACACGTTGAAGGTTTCAAGAGCTGGGTTCGTATTTTAGACTTTGCGTTTACCTGCAGAAGCAAATTCGTTTTCACGTGTGGATCATCAAGTGCACGCATGTCAACAGGCCAGCGTACTTCCTTTGCAAGCCCCTCATTAACTTTATCCTGAAAATCCGTGCCTTCATTAAGTTCGTAACCAAAGAAGGATTAGAAAACCAACGATAAATAGATAAATTGACTAGCTTAGATACATTAAACTCATCACACGTACACATTTCACATCACTTGAACCTATAGAAAACCAAGTTCAAAATTCGACCTCATTATGCCGAACTGGCAATTCGTCAAATTCTGCAGCTCCACTCAAAACTTGAAGAAGAGCCTGCCACGTCATTGAAAAGCATGTTCAACTTTAGCATTAGTTGCGATAAAATGCCTTATTAACAGTGAAGATTATTGATCCCAATTCGATTTGATGTCACCTTAATATTTTCGATTGCATTGGGCATGTCTAAATAGAATTCGCTTTTATTTCTTAAAGCAGGGATGATTAACTAATTACGAAATAATGACAGCGAGAACCACTCATTATGACAGCCCTTTACCTCAAGAGATGTATCCGCACGAATATTGGCGCTGAACAATGCAACAGTTGTGTAATGCAAGTAATACTGAGATGCAATACTACCCATCACTAATGGTTCGACTGTGTCATCCTCGTTCACTCTTAGACAACCCCCATCTTCAAGGGCTTGAAGAGTGCTGTTCACCAATCTGTTGAAAAAGCACCAAAGTACCAACTAGCGTCAGTCACAAGTAGAGCAAATCTCCATATTGTAATCGAAGGGGTGAAAGAACAGTAATACTCGAACAAGAGTGTTACAAAACGTTCCCTTCTAAAGATACTCGCGGAGTCATCCATAAACTTCTGTTTCGTTACCAAAAAGAAATTCAAGGCTTAGCTGGTCCTAAATTGTCAGTTAGTTTGAGCGACACCTCCAGCGGATGGACAAAAAGTCATAGTACAATCTATTGATCAAACATAAGACCAACGGTGACAAAGAGGATCATAAAATGTAACTAAACGTAAAGCAGACCCAGTCGACTCAACTGATCAAACTATGTATAAGTTTCCTTCAAAACATGATAACAATGATCAAGATCATTTTCAAACGTAGTGAAGGCTTGTAGGTGAATGAGGTTCAGTACCCTGATAGGTATGCATTGATGGAAGCGCTAGTGGTATCTCCAAGGTCATAAAAACTCGGGTTCTTGACCTAGATTGAGTAAAAATAAAAGGCATTCAATAAGAAAATAACAAAAATACAATAAAATTAAGTTCAAGGATGAAAACTAGAATAGAAATGACCCTTACCAAGACCCATTTTGCAACTACTATCATTTCCAGAGTGAACGCGATAAATGGATGAGCACAAAAGCTTTGATAGCTCCAACAGCCAAAGTATACAAATGTAAACATTCAAGTACATAAAAAGTCTAGAGTCTGAATGAGTCCTTGGAAAAAAAACCCACCAGGCGCCGGAAAAGGTATGTCCAGGTCAAATAATCGATGGCATCTTGCTTGCTTGATATTGTACCAGCCACCACCTCCGCATTAAAATGATCATGAAGGTGGTGCGTGAGCATGCTTTCAACCGGAAAAGGTTCATACAGAAACTGTACAAGCATAGTAGTAGTTAATACTTATACCCCTTTTCTAGAACAGAGCAAAACCAAACAGTATGCTTACTGAAGGTCTGTACACAGGAATGTACCTTCTTGTAAAAGCTTTTCTTGGGATCATGTACTAAGATGACGGCTTTACCATGCTGATCATACTGAGGTCGACCAGCACGACCCATCATCTGGAGAACATCTGTGATAGGAAAGTCTACATAGCGCTTTGTCTTGCCATCGAAGAACTCAGTACCCTGTCAAAATAGACAACACAATTCCTAAGACCCGATTGCAAAGGAACATTCAACTCTGAGTTGCTGAAACCGAACTATTGGAAGTGGGTTAATGAATACCGAGTACTGCTAATATTGCAGATCTAAATGGCACTCATCAAAATTACATGACCGCACCAAAAACAGCCATGATAAGCGATGCGACGACGTCATCAATGAATTGTATTGAAAGGTTGAGGTATTCATCAATGTATGCATGAGCTCCACCTTTATGACAACAAGGTGAGCTGGAAGATTAACACCCCACGCCAGTGTGCTTGTACAAACCAATATCTGCCCCACCAGAGAAACAAATAGGAAGCAAGTACCAATCAGTGATAATATTGGCAGCCAAGACCAATTGAGTCAACAAAATGAATAGGACCAAACTACAATTGATTACCTAGAACACATATATTCTCTGTACAGAGTGATTGAATGAAAAATAGTAGCTAAGAAACAAGAAAATTCACATACAAAAACCTAATAACAAGAAGCTAATAATGTTGGTAATAACAAGTTTCTTACTGCAGCTTAAGGTAAGAAATGACAAAAAATCGTACTTGCTGCTAAGAGACACGATAAAAACATTGTTCATTGAAAATGTTCTTTACAAAATGAGATTATTTGTAGTACTGAGTAAATTAATACTCTCCTGATAGAAAGAAATTCATGAAAAAATACCTGAATTTTTGTGTTGGTAAAAAGTTCCTCAACAAGAGATCGATCTCGATCGTTCAAACCAGCATGATGCAGTCCAACACCAAATTGAAGAGTATGTTTTAAATTTTCATCTTGTACTTGGGAAAGAACCATATCCATTTCATCATCTGTCATGTTCACAAACTGCCGTGGTCTTTCATCGGCAGACGCGTACTGCATTTCAGGTGATGATCATGAGTTAAGTGATCTCTAATGAGTAAAAAACAACAAAACAAAAAAAAGCGCAGTCTATTGTTCAACTCAGGTTTGGCTAAAAATGTAGCTGAGGAACCCTACATTTCTGAGAGTGCCCAAGTACCAAGTGAAGTGCTTTCTTTGCAGAAAATTTACGGTCTCAAATAATACAATTATAAAATAAGACTATAGAGGAAACTTTCTTAAACTTGCAATACAAAATGACATGATTCGACTAGATAGTGATAGAGATGAGTAACACACCTGTATGAGGTCCAGAGCTGTCAAACGAGTTTGACGACGAGATGACACAAATATAAGAACTGGTTTAAAGGGAGAATGGGTTGTTATTGCTGCGTATGTTGGCTTGTTCATGCTGTTCATTCTTGGGCAATAGAACTTCCCAGGATAACCCTGTCCAAGCACAACAGACAGGATTAATAACCCAACAATGAAACACAGAAGCTTCTGGAATGGTTTCAAAAGGTTATTAATGTACCTGACAAAGCTAAAAGCATAAATGAAAATAACAGACTACATTCGCACCTGAACATCTAGGAGCGGCCAAGTGGTACATCTACTGAAGCACTTGAGGATTTTATGTCCCTCAAATTCAAATGAGAAAAATAAAAGTAATTGAAAAAAATCAACTGCCCAGGTAAGAAGTATTTGTGTAAACAACATAAAGGATGGATAGTGCCGCTATGTTGATATTGGCAGACATAGATATCCTGGCATCCGAGAAGGCAGAAGTTCGCTTCTCAAGCCAACTAAAATTCGTACTTAAAACTTGAAGTTTAAGTAAACTTGTAGACAGTGGTTTGTGTGGAACACATCAAACTAACCACTTCTCGGTAATAAGTACCTGAATGTGAACTTCAAGTGGCACAGGCCGAACGCTGGGCTTAAAATTGTAAAGACCAACTTCCTCAATTCCAAGCCAGTTAGCCAAGTCCCTGCATAGACAATTTAAACCAAGTTTAATAAGAGGATATTCACGCAATTTCCTCTTATGAACTCAGCTTTGCCCTTAAGTATTCTGGAAGCAAATCATTATTTTAAAATAGAGAAAAAGAATCACCGAGCATTAGCAAGCGCTGTGGATAATCCGATGAAGCGAACAGGAGCTCCTGTCTGAGAAGATATATATCGCATGCGGGATACAATGACCTATAAACAAGTTGTTCAAGCAAACAAAGCGAGTCTTTTAAAGACATATACAACAAAACAAGAGACAACATAAAGAAGTCATTCATCATAATCCCACAACAGCGCAATACATGTTGCTACCATATGTGCACTTCCACAACAAGGTAGCATTTATGTCTACCTCTAGAATGGGTCCACGGTCAGCTCCAAGGAGGTGAATCTCATCGATCACCATTAATCCCACCTGTATTGCATGAAAATAACAACAAAACTTAGTAAAAGAAATGCCTTAGCAAAGGTGCTGAAAAAGAAGTATGATTCCAAGCGATACAAACTTAACCCAATGTTAAAAGAGAAAAAAATGTTTGCTTTGCTCTATGTGCACAAACCTTTGTAACATAACTCCGGTTATGCCAATTACGGCTAATACCATCCCACTTCTCAGGCGTTGAGATGATAATATCAGCTGCGAGCAGTGCTCTCATATCGGGTGTAAAATCTCCTGTCAACTCCACCTGTACAATAACAATAGAGTCTTAAAATATTCACCAATCACATACATTACAAAGAATGAATCTTTGTGAATACACCAAGTTCTCTTTACCATCTCATTTAATGTTTTCATTGCTTTAGAGTGAATAATTCTACGACTTCAATCACACGTCAGAACGTCACTGACAGAATTTCCGAATATTATGAGAGGTAAAAACTAGTGGATATATTACCAAATTTTGAAGGTTGTCCCAGTAGGCATTCTAAGTCAACTTTGTCCACAACCAACATAACTTACCAATTTCTTATTTAGAGCGTGAGCAAAACCTTTTCCCCAGCCATCCATTCTCTCCCTGACAAGTGCCTTAAGTGGAGCAATGTAAATGACCTGCCACATCACAGAAACAGCCCTCAAAATTACAAAAGGCAGTGTAAGCAATAAGTTCCATTACATACTCTTCCTCAAACAGTTATGAGGAAAAGACAGGATGCATTTTCTCCAACAGTTTACTAATACATAGAATAGCATGAACAACTACAATAACTTTGATACAATTTAGTCCGTAAACTCCTACAGAAGGATTAAGGTTGATGACCAAAGCAGTTATAACTTGAAAGAAATTGTACAAACTCCTCACCTTCATATCAGGATATGTATTAAAAAGCCGCATAATGGCTAGTTCTGAAGAAATAGTCTTTCCACTACCAGTTGGAGCACCAAGCAGAACATTGTTATCCGTGTGATAGAGTGTGTGAAAGGCCTGCACAACAACTTTTGACTTCAATTTCACAACGCAATAATCTAACTTTCACGCTGACCAGTTGACACAGTAATGAGACTAATAAAATACGTAGGGCTCCTGCATTAATATCCGCCAATTAATACTTGACGTAGTTTATTCCCTTAAGTATATGGAAAACATTGAAGGAATTAATTGATTTAATTAGATCAAACTGAAACATCTAGAAGATACGAAAACAAAGCACTCTGATAATCTTTATCATGCAAGAGTCAAACCTGGGTTTGAATCGGATTAAAATGCGTGAAGTTGTAAAGCTTCTCATATTCTTTATTGCCAAGTGCTGCCAGAGGAAGAGGCCTTAAGTCCAGCAACTCCGTATGTGGAGGATGTTGCTTTCCATTCATCCCAACAAACCGTACAAAACCTCAGTACTTCAAAAAAGTTACATTAAAAAAGTTTAGATCTGATAAGCGACAAACTCAAGTCACACAAATCTACATTAAAGATCAAACTCTGATGATCACGTCACCGCTGTAGTGACGAATCATTCACAAGCAGAAATATCACCTCAGGTAGAATAAGATGCTGAAAGGAGACTGTGTGAAGAGCTTCAGCGTGAAGCCACTTGTCTGAAATCGCTCGAATGTAATACTGGCTCGGCAGAGGTTCAAATATGGGGATAGTGAAGGAAAGAATTATCTTTTTTTCTTTAACGGTTTTTCTGCTCATGCTGAGAAGTTCCGAATGATAAATATGCTCATTATCAGAATCCTGTTTGAAATCCACAGCCGATGCTCGTCAGAGGGCATTACTTTCAACGAGATTGTGAGAGAACAAAGAATAGAACAAAAGTCAGGAGCAACTAAAATAAAGTCGATTTAAAAGAAAAGCCAGCTGACCTCAACCCATATCCACCAACGTTCGGACAAGCCGTGAACTTTATCTTTCCAATCAAAATCATCTGGTATAGTGATAGTCAACGCAACCTGCACCAACCAAGACATGCTTCAGAATCGTCAAAAGTTAACAAGAGTCTAAAGGATATGTTTAATCGCACATTTCTCTACTCTACGAACTCAAGCGAAAAATATTTACCTGGAGTACAGTCCGAGTAATAGGGCTGATGTTGGCAGAAAGCTCTACCCGTGGAAAGTATCTTAAACACTGCACAACTAGCTGCAACACATACAACACATGAACTGACTTTCACGCCAAATCAAATCATAGAAAATCCTATAAAACGTAGAATTCAAACGCTACACGAAATACTACTGTACTGCTGAACTTACGAAAGACCATGAGATGGCAAACTTGAGCTTAGACAAATAATTAAGTTGTCGAACAAAACTCCGATGAAGACGGAGCAGATCACTAAGAAAAGATGAAGAATGACTACTTGCTAATTAATTGCAATCCACACAAGTCAACTCAAAATATCGGGCGTAAATTTCAGAAAAAAAAAGAAATCACTTTATTTAATTCAAGCCGTAGCGTGTACCTTCCCACCATGAGGATGCCGAATCAGTTCTCCGATTTGCTTGTCATCCATATTATATAAACGCTCCATTGTTGCATCTCTGCTTTCGAGTTTGTACAAAATCTGAATAAAACAAGATCCTTGTCTGTAAATAATACATTAGACAAATAAATCTTACACGACCAAATTAGTTCAGAAAAAAATAATAATAATAATAATAATAATAATAATAATCAAGATATTAAAAGATCTTACGTCCGAGGATAGAATAGCATCGAATTGGCGAAGTGGGTGCTGATGAGGCCAGACACGTCGATCGACTGCTTTGCAAAATTCTAGCAGAAGGGTTGTCATAGTCACCCAACTTCGTCGTAAACATATTTCAAACAGAGCTCGCATGATGCGGCCTAAACTGGCGTTAATATAGGAACTGTCAGCCACAAGGGAAAAGCCATCCACAAACCCTCGAGAAAGATACACCTGGTACAAACATCGTTTGAGAAACTTTCAGAGAAACAATATGGCTTGTTTGGACCCGAACCGAATTCACGAACATGCACTCACAAGTTACAAGAACCAGAGAGTATACAAGCTTAAAAAAGAGTAGAGACCTGAATGAGAATGTTGATCTTCCCATATTTATCTTCTGGGCCCCCTTTAACTTCGAAAGGGCAATGACTCCTAACAAGCTGTGCCAGTTCTTGCTGCTCCTCTTCTCTTACCATAATATTCTCAAACTCAGATGAATGAGCAACCATGTGAATTAACTGCATCCGTCATAGAAATTGCACATGGTTGTAATAAGGCTTACAATTAAATCTGACCGGTGTTAAGAAATTCATTTTCATACCCATGCATTCCCTTACATTACTGCGTCCACAGAACCATGATAAGGTTGATTCTAAGATAAAATGACAAGATCATTTTCACTGCTGTGAGGTGGGAACTGAAAAAACAACCAACTACCTCAGCTTCATTCATATGACGCTTCAGCATCTCATTGTAGGTCTCCACACTAGTGTATTGTATGTAGAAATGACTAGCAACCCGTCCAAGATCAGTTACATATAAGTTCCCACTTTTTTCATCGAATCGCATCATTTTTGCTTTGTCAAGTTCACGTGCAGCATCTGTAATGAGCGCTTTGCGTTTTGCTAAAAGCCCAGGATCCATCACAGCCTGCAGTACCACCATTGTAAGAAGCATGCGACAGCCTTCATTAGACACTCGTCAGACAATTTTTGTGCACTATTCAGATTGACGAGATTAATATCTAATACATATTAACCCAAAAAAAAAAGGACACGAATATTATAGAAGTGTACACTTTGTCAGAATACATGCGTACCTCTTCCCAAGACATGCCGTACACAAGAGGATTCTTCAACATACGGACAAAGAGATAAGTATATCCAAGCCAAGCAATTGCTTCCTTGACATTGGTAACAGTCCCTAGTACCACTTCCGCATTCAAATTGTCTTTTAAAGAAGTCACAAACTGCAAAATTACACAGAACGAAACACTTTGTATTGAGCACTACAATCATCCAAACCTTAACATTATCCTAAAGAAATAATCCTATAATCTTCTTGATAAGTGATTCAATGTTCTTGGTGAAAAACTCTCCTTCCGCTCACAAATTCTATTTGCTGGACACAAGAGATCGGTCTTTAATCCATTCAGAAAGTATAACTATGGAAATGCCCTAATCATACGACTTGATATGAAATCACTCTACGACTACCAAAAATGACTACTTAAATCCACTTAGTGAAACCCCTAAACAACTACACAAAGTATTAAATACTTATATGATCATTTACTTCTTTACTAATGCCTAAAAACCATGTAATATTTAAAGAAACTACAGTTTATGAAATAATGCCGCATAAAGAAGATGAGAAAAGTTGTTCAAACACCCACAGAAGCTTACAACCCCACACAACACCTCATCAACTTGGTGAACGCCGAGATTATCTCAAAACTAAAGAGGGTACAGACCTGGCTCTCAATCGGCAATTGATGAGTAAGAAGTCGAAGATAGTGAGAGAGTTTATTATGGGTTGTGATAATAATGCCTTCACCACTGGTATCAAACTGTGGTCTTCCTGCTCTTCCAAATATCTGTCAAATAGTTGTAAACTAATCAGTATACACATAAATGGAACCTGCAAATAAAACACATACCTTCTCAAACTTGAAAAATAACAATCAATTATGGACCAGTATAGCGGGTGAATGCATCTCACTCAAAAAAGAACTGCAAAAGCAAGTCTTGATGGAACAATACAATGTGCAATGAGTCGCTCAATCTCCCAAATAGATAATCATAGGCATCTTATCCAAGTTTCTAATGACGAATCACCCATTCTACATGTCATCACGAGGAAACAATTACCTGCATAACATCAAGCATACCAAGCTCGCGCCAACCACCAGCTTTAGGGTCATAGAGTTGTGTTCCCTGTGATGTCATTGAAATCAACAGATTTAGAGAAAAAGATCTTACTGTAAAAGTTTTCAATTAGAACATCATACGATGATCGGCAACTTACACAGATTCTCATGCCAATCAGCGTCTCTGCAACACCAAAAAATGGAGGACAAACTGACCTTAATTACAACCATATGAGCTGGAAGATTCACTCCCCATGCAAGGGTAGCTGTGCAAACCAAAACCTGCATAAAAATAGCTCTTCAAGCTTTTAAAATTTCATCGGACTAAAAAGAAATAAAAAATTTCCACCTACTTCGGCTACGAACCCCGTTCCAAAAAAATTAATTTCTATCATCATTTGATACTACGGTGAGTCGTCTGTATAAATCAAAGTCCCCACATTATTGTTGAAAATTAGCGCATGAACCGAAATTCTCATCAAACTACAATTTCGCAAGGAATAAAACCTTCGCTATTAAACCAGGATAGCGCAAACCACAGAAGATCCAAGAAAACACCGAATATTCAGTGGAGGATTGAGAATACCTTAATCATTCCTTCTGAAAAGAGTCGTTCAGTAAGGTTTCGGTCCGACCTTAGCATCCCAGCATGATGGACGCCAAATGCTGAACCAAATAGCTCAACTAGCTCTCGATTCCTTGACTTTGTCACTTCTTTCTGTTTGATATGTCGAAACAACGAAAATTTTAGAGTAATCTAGGTGCACTCTATAAAGCCCCCATCCAATAAAAATCGACGGTGCAGGCCAAAAACGCACACTATTACAAGTTCAGTTTAGCATGATTTAATAGAAACTAAATTTGGAATATTATATGAAGAGCATAATATGATTGAGTCATGTGTTATGTTACAAGGAATACATATGAAACTGTCAAAAGTACCTTCATCATTCCATACAACGGGAGCTCAGAGACGTCGGTAAGTAGTGACAACTGATTATTACGTTGAGCAATCTCCACCTGCAAAAGATTTGGAATAGCATTAAAATACGAACTGTACCACATTACCAACAGGCATGTACATGTACATTCCATCAATCCTCAAGTACACCAGTCAAAAACAGGAGGGGTTCAACATCATTAGTTTGTGATGCGTTGTAACGCTCATGAACCGGCAATGCAGGGTGATAAACATTGGCCACTTCAGGTACGTTTAAAGAAAGGGAAATAGAATCACGAGAGCATTGTAATACCAGACTGCGCGCTGACTTCACTGTGTCTTTCCGCGAATGAACGAAAACCATTGCTTGTTGCCCACGCTTGATTGCCTCCATTACCTGCAATGTAAAGCACAAATCACAAAGTTATTGCATTCGCACTGATTTCTGTCAACCTGGTTCTGTCAGCCCGGTACAGACAATCAAGCACAGCCTCAAGCCCCAGAACTAATGCTATACCATGCAGATGCCGTGTGATACTCCCGCCACCAAACATGTACATGCATTTCCTTAAGAATATGAAGAAAACGCTACTTTCGGCTACTCAAATCAGGGAAATAAGGCAAAAAGAATTCAAAAACACAAAAACTCAAAAACTCAAAAACACAAAACTTAGAGATTTATTATATACCTTCGTATAGCAGACTTCATTCATGAGCTGATTGCGAAGAACAAAGTTCTGTTCAGTGATACCAATATACTGTTGAGAAAGTGGTACCGGACGGTAGCTTGCATCGAAGTAGAAGAGCCCTGTTTCTGCATTCACCCTCAAAAACTGTGCAACCTGCAAGATTTTAAAACAGAAATAAAACAATCAATAGAAATCTTGATGATTGGACTAGCTCATGAGAAGGACTAAGTTAGGAAATAAAAAGACAAAATCAATGAACAGAAATATAACAGGTCCTTCACAAGTAAAATGAGTAAAATTTGTATAATTCAAGCCATTATCATCTCAACATGAAATTGAAACATTCGATCAGTGAGCCACACCAGACCTCCAAGTAATTAGGAAGAGTAGCTGAAAGTCCAACAATACGGATCATGCTTTGTGTCGATTCCACCTGCAAGTGTCCAAAAATATAACTTTCAGTCGAGCAGATGATTTATGTCAGCGTTCTATTCTGCTCCTCCTTGCCTAGACCAAACTTAAATGACTCAGAGTTACCACCATAACGCAATCATGAAAACCATCTAAAGTCATCTCCTGCTTGCTATCCCATACAAGTTCAGCAAGGAAATAAACATGTGAAAATTCAAAACATAAAATATACTTGTTAATCATTTTCATCCACTATTTCATAAGATATAGTATTGTATGATTCAGAGTCCATGATTAAGGACTTTCTTTAACTCAAATCCGATAAAGGTAGTTCCCGTCTGCAAACGAAAGAGGCAATGAACCTCTCAGACAGCACTTTTGGTTGCATGAAAAAAACCAAAATAAATTACCTGACGAAGAGTTCGGGCCACAAGGGTTTCAATGACAGGACCACGGTCATCATTCAACAGATGGACCTCATCAATAATCAATAGCTTCACCAGAGTAGCCAGTGCCATATCGCTGCTTTTACGTGTAATTACATCCCACTTCTCCGGTGTAGTTACAATCATCTGCCAATGCCCCCAAAGTCTAATTAAGCTCAAGCTTATCGAAACTCAATGAAAACAATATGAAAGTATCAGACACTAGCAAAGCTCACACAGAGTAACACAGTAAAGTCTTCTCTATGAACTAGCTCAGAGTAGTTGTCTCATGCGAGATAAGGTAATTTAAAAAGCAACATACAGTTTACCTGACTGTACGTCAAATATGCATCAATAGGCCACGATGAACCACAGAAAAAAAATGCAACAAAAAGAAGAAAAACGTGTTTCACATGAACAAACAGACATTGGGGGCTCTTAAAATTTGTGAATAGACTTTTACCTGAGTTTCTTCAAGCTCACGTTTAGTTAATTGCATGTCTCCAGTTAATTCTTTCACGACCACATCCAAGGCTGCTAGCCTGCGACTAAATGCTTGTGTCATCTCCGCTGCAAGTGCCTGCACTCAGAAGAAATCCCAAAAGTACACTTGATATTCTTGAATGAACATTAATGCACTTAATCAGATTTGGACGTAATCAATGAAATCGAAACAGCCGATCATTTACCAAAGCTGTCAACCCTTGATTAGAACTGCAAAGCAGTAAGCGACGCATTCAAATAAGCTTGCTAACACCTCCTTGCAAACCCCCACAACGTACCTTCATGGGAGCTACGTAAACAATCTTGAAATCATTTTTTTGCAGCACGCCATACTTCATATTCTGCCCTATCTGTATGCCAAAATACACGTGAGCAAACTAAATGAACCAGAACACTTTCAAGATAGATACAAACGAGCATTTTTAGATTGGAAAACTAAAATGTAAAAAACTAAGAAACGGCAGCTTGCTTAGTAAACAAATGAATTCAAAACATTAGATGCTGCCTCAATAACATTATCAGCGAAAATACCTCATGAAGTACTGAGATCATGGCGATATTCGTTTTACCAGCACCAGTTGGAGCACAAACCTGTTCAAGTTGGCATGTTAATTGTATATGAGAAAAACCATTCATTCAATATTACGTCTCCCATGTCCCCAAAAATTCGTGAGTAGAAGATGTCATTTGATCATCGCATCGAAAGAATTATTCTTGCTTAAAAGTAAAGCAAAGTCACGAGTGACCAAAGGTGCAGCGAAGTGAGAAAGTTCACCGAAACAAAGCACCATAAAGTACTTCAAAGGATGACATGACTACAGGTGACCATCGATATTACTTACAAGTATGTTCTCGTTACTATTGAAGGCTGTAGGAAATATACGACTTTGTATTCGATTGAGTGTCTTGTATCCTTCGAATGCAAGTTGTGCAAAATTCGGTAATTCTCCTATTTTGATCTGAGAAACCGACCAAAATTAGCAAAATTTGCAACAAAAATCTAAACTATAAGTCCTAAAATATTGATGACATTTCTATTCAGGAAAAGCAGAACTTTAATTTCTGCAAGAAAGAGATCTTTATTACCAGCTTCTCGTTTGGTTTCAGTGCAGCGGTGACTATTGCTGGAACTCGTACTTCCTCGTAGCCTTTGAATACTTTCCGAATAGAACCTTGCGGTAGAATTGCCCCAGTCAACAGCGTATCATCCCCTTTGCCTACCAAACCGTCGATCACGCCACTTCCTTTCTCACTGGCCTCCACCAAAGCATAGAAACCTCCTAACCCCGATAACCACTCAAGTGCTGCATCGCTATCCCCATTAGCGACTCGTTTGGCTTGTTTCTTCTCTTCCTTTTTGCGGAGCTTATCTAGCTGTTTATCTAAGTCGGAATGAACACTCACCTGTTAATATCAGCATTCCAAATTCAGCCACATTGTAATACAAGAACCCTTTAGCAAGGATACATCACTGAAGTGAAACTTGGAATCAATTTGACACAATCCGTACATGGCAAAATTAATAATTGATCCATAAGAAATGATAAATCAGAATGCATTTCCTTTCATTTTCCCGTAGACACATTTACTTTACTACACTCACACCAAGGTCACATAGGAAAACAAATTAAAAAATTAAAGAAAAAAATAGAAACCTGCGTGCCATAGCTGGGCATGCGAGGCGTTGGACCAGAACTAGCTTTGTCTGACTTGCAGATGGAAATAGCTTTATGTACAAGCTCCACAATCTCCTTGCGATGCTGCACGACCAAGGTGGAATTTGCAAAATATAAGAAAACAAAAGTTGTAGCTGAATAATATAACCGTCTCAAACTTAAGAGTACAATCCAAAAAAACCGCATGAGCCAGGGGCAACCTGAGATTGCATAAATACAAAAAGAAACTCTCACGAAATACTGAAATTAACACATCTAGCTTGTACTTATCATAAGTGAAATGCGAATGCAACAAAATAATGGAGACAATACCTGCAAAAGCTCTTGAATTAGTTCAAATCCTCCGTCGCCAACAAGATCGAACAATTCTCCTGCAATCTACAATTCCAAAGGTAACCATAATAAGTAAGTACAGATCAAACTCCAAAACAAGGCACACCCAAGTTGAAGGGTCTTGTTACCTAGTCATCCAGCTTGCATATAAGCGAAGTAAGCTGCCCTCTAATATCATGTCAGCGTCGTAGAATACGTCATGTAAGCTAATATCGTATCATAATCTAAGAAAATCTGCAAGTGATCTGAAATATCAAGCTTTCCACTTCAACTGACTTGTTTAAAATAGAGCATTTGAATCTAGTGGTTATGTCACTTCAACAAAGATTACAGCATGGAATTGTTTAATACACTTCATGTGTATGGATGCGAGTAATCAACTGAGTTCAAAATATATGTCCAATGGTATTCTCACCTCATCTTCTGACCGTTCAGAGTCAAGGACGCGATAAAGAGCCATAGCCAACTCAGACCCGGAAAATTGACCATGACTTGCTTGCTCACACGCTTCATAGTACCATCTTAGGGTAATTCCACCCACCCCATTACTGGTAGAAGACGGCCATTCTCCTTTGTGAGGCATGCTGGCTGAGCCATCTGTTTGCTGTGATACAGCACTTGAAGCGACAATTGCAGTATCTTCCAGACTAGAATTAATCCCAAGATCATCCCAATCGTCTTCATCGTCATCACTAATATCCTCGAATTCGTCAGAACTAGCAGCTGGAACTTGAAAGCTCAAGTTTGAACCAAACTCATCTAGAATATTTCCAGGTTTCTTGCTGGACGACTTCTGATTGACATTTGAAGCCAGCTGCCATACGTGTATCTGATTAGCCAGATCTGCAACTTTCAATAATTGATCCTTTGGGAATGTTTGGCCGAATATATTTGCTAGCTTTTCTCTGCAGCCAATCAGTCACATTAGACAACAAGAAAAAAACTAGTGTACTTCAAAAGTGACCACGACATTCGATCACTAACACAGAAACTACCAAGAGAATTAAACACCTCAAACAGACCGTAGTACCGTTTCTGATTATATACAGGCCCTGAACTTGCACCGTCTAGATCATGAATTGAATCATATATTAGACTTGCAGATTGCTGCAATTCATCGGGAGGAACCTCGCCATCTATCAACTCCTTAACAGCCACCAAGAACTGCTCGTAAGCGTGTCGAATTTTCGCTGGAGCTGTAATTACAGAAAGCAACGATACCAGCAGGTGTTACACAAGTAAAAAATGACATCGCTCAAAAAGTACGTTCCAAAAGCAAGACGCCAACAATGTAAAAGCAATTTGAAAAAAAATAAAAAGATAAAAACAGATTCACATTGCTCTTGATGAAAGTGATTGCACACCTTCATCCCACGAGGGAACCAGCCTTCGAGCTAATTCAGAGGAGCCGACAGCAGCAACTCCATTCCTATTTGCCGAAGCACCACATTAAAGTTAATTATCATCCTGTGCAACTAAAACCATCCCTTCGACATGTACATGGCCAAGACAAATGAGGATTTTCATATTAGTTTCAGATCAACAAGAGAAACGGGCACTAGTGGGTGAGCATATATTATTACCTCGACTGTCGTCTCTGTTCGAGAATGCGTTTTCTTTCAAGATACAACTTATCGACATCAAGCACGGTCCCTGGATTACCAATTGATCGGACAACGGTGCTCAGTCGTGACTTCTGCATGCACAACACGTAAGTTCATTAAGCATGGCAATCCTCCCAACTTCTTAACTTGTAAGATACATTACATTGACTAAGCTACGTAAACCACTCAAATCCTCTGCTTTTAAACCCTAAATCTTAATTAAGCAAGCACTTATTCAGTTTGAATCGACATCAATAGCCGTCTCGCGAAACTTTTCATAAGTGACAGATGCTATTACAGTCTCCAGCAAAAATTAAGCCAACCATCTCATTAGCAGCATTAATTGTAGAAAGCATGCAATACAACAGTCCAAAACAGTCATACACGGACACGATTTAAGGAGTATAACAAAGCGGCAGATTACAAAAGTCTCTAGAGTATAAGTCACGAATGCACATCAATTAGCAAGCGCATGCCTCGAAGTCAAGCTCACGATTACCATCCACCCGAAAATTAAACAACAAAATCCAAATGCGCTTTAAAGGTAACAGTTACAAGGTAGACACCACAATTCGCAGTCCAAATTACAATCCCCTCATCAAATTCACCAATTCAACAACGAAAACCGCGAATCCAGAAACATTGAAACCACTGTATGACACCGCGAATTTCAGAAAATCCCAGATCACATCATTAAGTGTCAAAGCAAAGCTGGAGGAAACAGAGAAAAATAAACAAACAAACTGAAGCGACACAAAGAAGCTACCAACTCGAAAACGGAACACACACCTGTATGATCGCCATGGTGACCAGAAGTGTCTCTTCTACCCATACGATCAATCCTCCTTTGTGCTGCTCTCAGCTAGAGCTCTGTAAGGCAGAGTGGTGGCTGCAAGGACCCGAAATACAGCCTCCCTTCGAGGAAGAAGCAGCAGTCGCAGTGAAGCCTAGCTCGGTGCTAAGTTAAAAGGTTATGGTGAGGCGAGTCAGCTTCGAGAAAGGGCTTGTCTGTCTCACACAGCTTTGAGAAAAACAAACAGAAAGACAAGGCGACGCAAGAATATTGGATGATAACCTCTACTTTCATCCAACCATCATCCAAAGCGACTCTGAGATCACGCATTGGTGAGCTGATTTTCAACCTTTTACTTTCGTGATACTTTTTCCCCAATCATGTAGCAATTCTTCTTGCTACTCACTGATTATGCACTTGATTTTTGGTTTTGAAAACCAATAGTTAGTGATGCGGTATTGTGCCGGTCGCAAGCTTAGGCCAGAATAAATAAACAAAGAAATGAAACAACTTGGTAGAATAGTCATTTTCTGTACATGTGTGATAAGAATGATTCAACGAACATGCTCACATGATAGAACTCCAAATGGAAGACAACATCATCAAGTTCCAGTTCCTGAAGATAAGAAGATCAAGGGAAATGAGGTATACAGGAAGATGAGTATCTAGACTTTGTATCCATTACAAACATGTAAGTTCATATTACTTGCACTACTGGAAAAGAACTCGTCGAGAATTTAACAGAACATTTTCCCATCTTCACATCAGATGCAAACAAGCAAATTGTGAGCCTTTGCATTCACATAGCACCTTGTCTTTCTTGTAGTTCAGAAGCAGAAAACCGCTGTGATACATCTTTGAAAACATAAGCATGTAGAATATCCTCAAGACACTGCATATCGAATCTAGCTGTGCAAATAAGTGGGCTTTACCATAATTGTGACCTTTAACTGTGAATTTCTCTCTAATCGCCTGCAGTATGCATGAAGTTGAAATTCCCGTTTGTAAGTGTAGGTCAGCACTTCACTCATCAAGTCAATCAAACAATTGTTGAAAGCTGTTGACCTTCACAAAATCAAACCATATCTACTCTGAGGATGTGGCAAATTGACTTGTCTAAGATGTACTATTTGCATCAGGAGCATCAAAATAGTGCGTAACATAACGACATTGCAATGAAATATAGGAAACATACGGTGCAAAGAGAAACCTGGTCATATCAGTATCCAGACCTATCAGTTTAGCCAAAGAATCCAGCTTCAGGGTGGGTTTCACAATCACAATAAACGCATTTTCAATATCGGCAAGAGTGATGGAAGAAATACCATTACCATATCAACTAGTTAACTACAAAAGCCATGTTGACGTACACCAACCATTCACATCCGAGAAAAATCACTGAGGAAGTATGGTTGTGTAGAAGACGACTTAAGAGGTAAATCTTTTGTTTTCTGAAAAAAACCGTTCTAAGCACAAGAAACCTTGCATTGTCATGAAGAAAGGAAAGCAACTTCCCTTTCCTTCAAATGGAATTTCAACTAATCAAGTGGCAGTCATCTACGGTTCCACTGGAAATCATGAGAAAAGCTCTTTCAATTACTAGGGCACTCATTTCCGGACTATGTAACGGACTTTCAAAGGAATCAAGATACTATGTACCAATCAAGGAATAGCAAAGCCCTCTACAAACTTTTCAATTGGCTCAGTTTATTCTAGTCCGAGTAATCCCAGCAGAATCATCGAATTAGATCCCAATAGGGGCAACATTACGATAGAACCCCAATTCAGCAACCACGTGGAAAATTCTTGAATATGACAACAATCAGACCAGGGTAGCCACCAAACTTCATCCGAATAACTGCAATGCATCAGCACAACTACAACGCAAGTCAGGAACCCATTCTCTCATGCTGGCTCACAAATCGCAAGACAAGAAACGAGAGGCATGATGTCCTCTACTCAACCCCTAGAATTGTTGGAGGCATTTTTCCTGTTCCAAGACAAATATGATGTGTCGCCAAGTGGTCTTGGATTCTTGAGATGGATAAGGAAGAAGACAAGCGCCAAAAACATGCAGATCAATCCCACTGTCAAATACGCGATTCCCAGGAAAGAATTCTTCCCGCCCAGCCAGCTTGTGGTGGACAACACCAACTTCTTACTGCCCTTAAAAGTGTAGGTATTGTACACATTGGAGATGCCAACGGTAACCGTCTGGTTTGCTTCAAGTTGCTGATTAATTCTCCCCCACAGCTTGCGGAAGTTTGGCAACGCGGCAGTCCTCATCCACACTATCAAATCCTCGGCATCTCTCAGAGGCTTGTTCGGATCCAATGCTGCTCCTCCAATCACTCCTAATGAACCATTCCGATCATTGTTTGGAAAGAATAGGGGCTTCACGTCAGATCCAAACTTACTTTGAACGTCACTCTTCCAAGCAATTCCCGTCTTTTCCACTAGGATACCTCCACTCGCGGTGGTAAAACTGTAGGTATCGTTAAACAAGCTCCAGGCAATAAGGCCACAGGGAACAATCGTTTGATTTCCGACTTTATCGAGAGGCTTGCAGGAATCAAGGCTGGATACCTCGTCACCTCGAAGCTGCTGATCGTTCCTACTCTTCACATATCGACGGTGATTCTGGTAGAAATTAGTAAGCTCATAGTACACGTACACAGGGGGTTTCATTCTCTTAGGGATAGTAAGAGTAACATTGCAGGAATGATCAACTGCACTGTTTTGGATGTAGCTCACACGATCCGCTTTCGTAGCGAGAGTCGAAGGAAGACACTCCATGTCATACCTGTGAACAACCTCAACTACTGAATTGGAGGCCAAGAGTGTCACAGCACCGATGGGAATAAAGATGATACCCACGACCATGAATGTGGCCATAACCCATCCTGGCGTGAGCAAGGGCTTACACGCCGGCAGCTCCTGTTGCGTAAACTTGGTATATTTCGGCTTCTTCGACTCCTTCATTAAATTCGTCGGCCCATCTTCCGAGGAGCTGGCGCCATTCATAATGCCCCACCCTCAAAATTCTAAGTCCAAGACACAAACCGCTAAATTCACAGCAAGCAGCCGTGGCTAGGAACAGAACTGCCTCCTCTCAAAGAACGCAATTCTCCAAGTAGAGCAGTTAAGGACTTGGGCACTTCGCCCAGAACTGAACTGCACCACACCATGAATCGATGTCAAATAAGGTACATGAAATAGGAACACAAGCAAGAGAAGATCACAAAAACAATGAAGGGGAGGAAGACGAGGAAATCGAGACATACCTAGATGGAGAAGAAGCGAAACCCTACCATGTGAGAGAGGAAGATGTAAGAATGTGTCTGGCACAGCGGAGGGCAAAAAGAAACAACGAGGGGAAGTAGGAAAAGGAAAGAAGAAGAAGAAGGCAAGGGCGAAGAGCAGACAATGGCGGAGGAAGGGGAAGGTCTGGCTGTGCAATTTGCTGTTCCATGCTCCCTCTCTCGCTCACTCTCTATGTTCCACTTCGGAACTGTCGTGGAACCCCCCCCCCCCCCCTGCTCCGGGCTGCCCGTGTTCCATAACAAAAACATAACCCTTCACTTCACTTACCCCTATTGCTGATTCATATACACAGATATTTGAGTTCTATTACATATGTGAATAGAGTATATATATATATATATTTATATTTATTTATTAGTGGAAATCTGTGCCATTGGCCAAGGAAACGGTGTAAAAGTTTAATTTGTTGTTGCTCAGTAAAAAAATTGACCACTCCTAAAGAAATGTTATTAAAAAACAAAAAACAAAAAAAAAACAAAAACAAAAACAAAAGCATAACAATGGAACTGGCATTGTGTTTCTTCACCATAACTAGCAGACATAATTTTTCATAACTAAACATGTTTTTTCATAACTAGCAAACATAATTTTTTATTACAAAAATAAACTAGCTAATTTAAAATAATTTTTGAAAAACTGTATTTATAGTAGTATTTTTCTCTTCATTATTTTCAAGATATATAATCTTGATCATAGTCCAAAAAAAATGCATTGTGAAAAGACAACATATAATTGTTAATGTGCAAATATTGGGATTTTAAGATCTATTTCTATATTCTTCAACGATTTGAAACTTGTTAATGGTCATTGCAAATCTCACCTTTATTAGAAATTGTCTTTGCTACAATTTGAATAAAAGCTCTACAAATGATGGGCATAATGTGATCTGTGGAAGAAGATTCAATTGTCTCTTGTAGTCTCTAAATAAAAGTCTTGCCTTTATAATTCAATTATTGAGTTACACAATGATTAGGGATACTTCATTACAAAGTCCTTGGCATGAAATTATGTTTTGTAATAATATAATAGAACATCTAATATTTAGCTTCAAGCTAAATGGTAGCAATTTAAGTGAACTTAAGCTATTCAAATACTTGGTTGGATAATAATTACTATTATTGGTACTATATTTCATAATTACTATATTTGTACTAAAATAAATATGTGAAATTCCAAAAAATCTCTCCATTATATGCTTATTTACATCATCAATATCATAATTTTGTCTAGATAAAATAGACTTGTCAATGAAATATTCATCTCTAAGTATCCCAACTTTATCATATCTTGAATAGATAGCTTAAATCAAATCATTTGATGTTGGATCTACTTTTATACATTCTTAAAGAACCATTGTACTTTTCAATGGATCTACATTTATTGAACCATTTTCAATCTGCAAATAGAAATTATTTTTAGATATATTATATAAAAATATTATATAACACATAACTTGAAGAGTTTTTAGGAAATAATTGATTTTCATCATATACACCTTCTAGAATAACAGTTTTAGTCAACTTGCACACTTTAATATTAGACCAAATCTTTGATCATTGCAAAGAAGCATCAACAATCTCTTCTCTTGAAACTTTAATTACAACAACAAAAATTTGCCAAAAATCTCTACTATTGGCTACAATAATTCTGCCAAAAAAACTTCTTAGTATCATTTATGTCTTATAGAGTTCTATCAACTACCTAAGTACAATGGCAAAATTGCATCAGTATCTCATTTCAAATGATAAGAACTATCCTTCTTAGAACATCTATGTATAAAGCATTCTTTGCAATATTACAAAACAAATCACTACTTATTCCTATTGTTAATTCATACACACAAATATTTGAGTTCTAATATATATGTGAATGAAGCATATCCATATATATATATATATATATATATACAATTGCAACATTGGCAAATCTTAAATAATGTCACAATTTATGTCGAATTTATATAATATAATTATGTACTGTACTGAACAAGTCTTGTATAGAATATTGTAAGATGATTTTTTTTTTTATAAATGTATTTGTCTTTGCTTTTTAAATAAACATATCAAGGTGAATATATTCTTAATTTAATACTTATAAAATCCATTACAAGATGGTATTTGATACTACTTGCTTAGATAAGATTATGTTATTTAAATAATATTTAATAAATAATAAAAATAAAACTACATAATATTTTATGTAATATAATAACCAATATAGTAAATTATTTATAAAAAAATAAACAATAAACATGTTTTAAAATAAAACAGTATTATATAATATAATACTTCTTAAAAATTTTGAACTTATAAAAATATTAATAAGAAGGTTTAATTATGATAAAGTATTTATAAAAACTTTCCATATTTAAGTCTAATTTCTAACTATGCAATAAAACATATGATAATATCACACATACAACAAAAAAATAAAAAAATTATGAAATAATATATTATATTAATATGTTTGTAATTAAGCTACAATATAAACTTTATTAAATATAAGAACTTATGTATTAGTTATATCATTTTTTTAATAAAAAATATAATTTTTTGATTATTTTATTTTTAAAAAATAAAATAATAATCTTATGACAAAATAATATTATTTTTGTAATGTAGCCATCTGATTTGTGACTATAAAGTTTGGATATAGCCAATAATACCACCAAAGTTCTTGCTACTACTATCTACTCAACATGTTTGTTTATTAATTATTTTATTTATTATATATTTATTCCAATCATTTTTTTTGAATTAAGTAGAATTAAAATTTTGTAATTTAGCTATGAAAAACTTGATTGGAATGAGAAAAAACCAAATAAATATGTTAAGTGAATAATACTTTGTGGTGGCACTAGCAAAAACTATGGTGGCATTAGCAATATCCTACAATTTTATACATAGAGAGATTTATTCCAATAAACACCCACTCACTAAATTTTGAAATTTAAAAACTGATGTTTAGACTCATCTCTTTTTTTATTAAAAATCTTTAAATAAATTTGACATTTTTCATAAATTTTATGATTCTTGTGATAATATCTATTAAAAATGATTATCTTATAAAACTTGGTTTTTGATTTTTATTCTTGAAGTTTTGTAACATTATACCATTAATATTTTTTGTGTATTATATATAATAAATAAAATTATAAAATGATGTGGCATAAACTGATGTACCTTAAAATCAATGTTTCAATATTAATAAATAATTTTGAAACATATTCCCTTGAAGTCATTTATTTTTATTGAACCATTACTGTTTTTCTAAATACAATAATTATAAAATAATAATCTAAACACTAAAACAAAAAGCCAAAACTGTATGGAGGGAAGAAACGTATCCTACTAACAGTAAATAATGGTTATAAACCATATACTATCCATACAAGAATGGGAATTTCAGCACTAAGTAAGGTCTCAAGTGTGGAAAGGGCACTGGAACTCAAAGTGGACCTAAACAAATGAGATGTCAGTGGGAGTTAGAGCCACTTAAAAACGTGACACGTTAACACAGGTTGAAGTCAAGGGCTCAAGAGCAGGCTGATTTTGGGCCCTCGTTTGAGGACGTGGGATCGAAGGATGTGGAGAGTCCAGGTTCGGCACCGAAGCCAAACCTGGTCTGGTCTGGCTTGGGCGCCATGCTCCGCTTTTTGTTTTCTTCACCTCACTCTCTCTCTCTTTCCCTCTTCGCAGTGGCGGCCTGGGACCCTTGTTTCCTTGCTTCAACCCTTACTTGCCCAGCGACGTGCCCGCCTCCTTTGTTTTGTTTTTCTTCCAATTTCACTTATCTTTGTTCCCTCTGCAACTCTGTGTCTCTTCCATGGTATTCGGAGTTTAATAGATGCTGCAAATTTGATGTGAGATAGGAGTTGCATCCTTGTGTTGGTTAAGAGGTGGTTCGGAGGTAGGGAGGATAAGGCATCTGAGGTCGAGTAGAAATGTCAATGCCGAAGGAGGATCCGTCTGCCATGACGGTGGAGGAGACCTCTAGCTCTGCGGAGACTGGCAGGCCTGCTGCACCTGCCGCTCAGCCGTTGAAGCCCGCTCCCCAGTCAGCGGATGGTACATAATTGCTTCTCGATTTGTTGTGTTTTGTAGAATGGCGGCGTGTCTTTGTTGTTACAGTGTGGTAGTTTGTGTTCAGGGCTGTGTTGAATGCATTCTTTGGTTTTCGGGAGGTAGGTGTGAGGAATCGGGGAGATTTTCAATGAGTTCGGAATACTCGGATTGGGGTTGTCGATGCAAGTTTCGTGTATTCAATGCATTGTGGAGAGTAGTGTGTGAAGGGTATTCTCTTCCGTCCTTCTGTAAGAACTTCCTAGCCTGCTCTTTTAAAAGTGTGGTTCAGCCATCGCTTCTATTCAGGGTTTAGGGTTTAGGGTTTCTAGATGTCGAATGGGAGCTCATTTGTATGGAATAACAGGTGAACGTGCTAAGGAGGAGGATCCCGAGAAGAAAAAGAAAAGAGAAGAGAAGGTTAGCGTTGTCAATCATTTCATGAATCCTGGAAACATGCAATTCACTCAGTAATTTGAAGATTACTTCTGTTCAAATTTTTGTTAGATCTCATCATCATCACTTGGGTCATGTGTCTGGAGCGTTAATAAACAGGCAAGGGAGAAGGAACTGAAAAAGTTGAAGGCTGCCCAAAAGGCTGAAGCTGCCAAAGCTCCTGCAGCTCTTTCAAAGAAGGCCGAACAAAAAGCGAAGAAAGCTGCCGCTGCCGCTGATGATGCCGATGCAGTAGATCCCCCTACTACTCCCGGGGAGAAGAAACTACTGGCCCCTGAAATGGCAAAATCTTATAATCCCAATGCTGTTGAGGCATCGTAAGTCATTGTTGCTCTGAAAGTATCCTTGTTTTCATTTTCCAAACTTGTTAATGTTCATTACCTCGCCTTTAGTTCACTCCTGCAAGTGTAATAAGATTAGGATGCTAAGGATTGCGCTTGCGGTGCAGGTGGTATGAGTGGTGGGAAAAGTCAGGTTTCTTTGTTGCTGATCCGGAGAGCAAGAAACCTCCCTTCGTAATTGTAAGCTTCCTGGATAGAAGTTTCTTTGATTCACAATTCTTTGAGATGAACAACTTCGTTGTGGTTTGATCATGTTGTTTCAAATTGCAATTCTAACGTATATATATATATATATATATATATATATATATATATATATATATATATATTTGCACACTTAACAGGTGGTGCCTCCTCCAAATGTAACTGGAGCGCTTCATATTGGTCATGGTCTAACGGGAGCTGTAGAGGTGTGTTTCTATCATATTACACAGTTATCTTAGAAATTATTGTTTCATTAACTTTATTATTATTATTATTATTATTATTATTATTTTTTGTCAAATCAATTAAGAAGCTTTTTAGAAGTTAAAACATAGTTTAAGGCTGTCCTCAAAGAACTCGCTGACTTTCTGGGAGAATTTTTTTTTTCGGTAGTTAACTATCAAAGCAACCCATTGGTCATGGAATACAGGACCTTATCATAAGATGGAGACGAATGAGCGGTTACAACACCCTGTGGGTACCAGGTGTTGATCATGCTGGCATAGCCACTCAGGTGATTTTTCACTACTTGTAACTAATGATTTTGAACCCATTTGAGTTATTGAAGTTAGTGAATTGATTATGGTAACACGTTGTGGTGCAGGTAGTTGTAGAAAAGAGCATTATGAAGGAGAGGAAGCAAACTCGACATGACTTGGGAAGAGAGAAATTTGTGGAGGAGGTAAATATTTGATCTTGACTGTCCATCAGTTTTTATTTTTTTAGTTTAATTTTACGTTATTTTAGCTGTGGCTTCAAAATTGTTGGGAGTACATGCCAGGTCAGACTTTGACACTCGCTGAATTCTTTATTAGTCTACTTCATTCCCCTGTTTCTAATTAGTTCGCAATCTCCCGTTATTTCCATTTCTCATATTACTCTTTCAATCTTCAGGTGTATAAGTGGAAAGATCAGTACGGTGGGCAGATTTGTAAGCAGTATCGTCGTCTCGGAGCATCTCTTGACTGGTCTCGTGAGGTGATTTTGTAACCGCTTCAAATTTCCACCTAATTGGCAGCTCTCTCATTTTCTGATTTGCTTTTACGTGATGTCGGAACGCTGATGACCTCTCTATTTGTAAAATGAAGTGTTTCACTTTGGATGAGACGCGGTCTAAAGCAGTATCAGAAGCGTTTGTCAGGCTGCATAAAGAGGGCCTCATTTACAGGTTCGTTGCCCCAGTAACCACTTATTAGTTGGGGTCATGTATTTGCCACTGGATTTTACAGCACCCTCTGTGTTGATAGTGGAATCTAATTGTAATCCGCCTTGCGGATTGGTTTATACATTCAGGTGACAATGTACACGACAAGGGGTACACTTATCTTGTGAGGATGGTGTATGTAACAGGGATAATCGGCTTGGAAATTGGGACTGTGTTCTGAGAACAGCAATATCAGATATTGAGGTATTGGAACTAGTGCGGATTTAGATTATGTCTAGCCTAATTTCATTTTAGAATACAAGGTACTTTCCTGTGTCTAATATTAAGTGCTACATTCGAGATTGGAGGGGGATAGAGTTGAATTTTTCCTCTATTACGCTTGGTTTTTAGTAATTCCGAATTCATTGATTGGGATTCTTCTCTACAGAAAACGTATGAAGCAGAGCATTGACACCGTTGTTGTATTCGTATTCTCATTACAAACTTTTACGGTAGTATATGCATCACTCAAACATTTCCTCACGTTGAATAACAGCCATTTCAGTAAAGTATAATGATGTCCGGTCTTTTGTCGCAGGTGGACTATGTCGATATCACACGCCGAACCTTGAGAGCAGTACCAGGGTATGATAAGCCTGTGGAGTTCGGAGCAATTACGTCATTTGCTTATCCACTTGAAGGAGGGGAAGGTGAAATTGTGGTAGCTACCACAAGGCCTGAAACCATGCTCGGTGATACAGCCGTTGCTGTGCACCCAGAGGATCCACGCTACAAGCACCTTCATGGAAAGTTTGTAGTTCATCCTTTCCAGAATCGTAGGATTCCCATTATCTGTGATGATGTACTAGTGGACATGGCTTTTGGTACTGGAGCTGTCAAGGTTTGTCACTACACTTCATAATCTGTCACATGAGTTTCCATCCTTGTGCTGCTTAAGTACGTACTTATTGACTTGTGATAATCTTAAATTGCTCGTAAATGGTTGGCCACGTTGTGTACTTTTCCTTTTTAGATAATATTGCTTAGTGCCTCGTATTGTTTAAAAATGTGTTGTTCAGTCTGTTCCACGGTGCGTCCATTTACCGATAGTTGCTTAAATTTTAATTTGTTTATATAAACAAACAGTTAACCAGATACTTTTGCGCTGGTTATGAGATGTTTACTTGTTTTGAGGAGTTTGTGAATGGAGTTTGACAGTTGATTTTCATTCTCAAATTCAGATCACGCCAGCTCATGATCCTAATGATTTTGAAGTCGGTAAGCGGCACAATTTAGAGTTCATCAACATTTTTACAGACGATGGATTGATCAACAGCAACGGTGGCAAGCCGTTTGCTGGGATGAAACGCTTCGACGCACGTGTAACTGTTGTAAAAGATCTAGAGGCCAAGGTAAGTAGGAAATGGGATTTGTAGAAGCAGGCATCTATTGGGGATCGCACATACAAATTCTATTGATTTTTATGTTTTGTACAAACTCCTTCGTAAATGTGCTGAGCATGTGACTCGTGTGACTGAAGCAATTATCCTGCATTGTGAGCATTTGTTATAGCGATTGGTTTGCGATCAACGGTTTAAAAATTACTTATACGGTCAGGACGCATATAGATTAGATAGAAAAGTTGATTAGACAAATTGAAAAGTTAAGTTTCGTGTTCCCTTTCATCGGCTGGTCGGCAGGGTCTTTTTAGGGGAGTGGCTGATAATGCTATGAGGCTTGGAATATGCTCAAGAAGCAATGACGTGATCGAGCCCATGATAAAACCTCAATGGTATTTACTCTTCTCTGTATAAGACTTCTCGTGAAGGGCTCTTCTACTCAAGTTATTTTTATAGAAAAAGGAGTCCTCTTCTCTACCCGATCAGTGAATTCTCGTGGTATGTTGAGGGAGATTATTTTGATAGGATGGATTCTGTCTTGTATAGGTATGTGAACTGCAAGGATATGGCAAAGGAGGCTTGCGATGTTGTACGCGATGGTCGGTTAGAGATCATCCCAAATCAGTTCGAAGATACGTGGTTCAGGTCTTTGAGCAATTATACATTTTCTCCTTCCGTCACTCATTCTTTCACGATATGTTGACTAATGGGTATAATGTTGAATTTCATTTAAACGTCTTGAAAGAAATGAACCTTAGCCCTATGATATCATCTCATTGAATGATTCAGCTTGAATTTTGTTTTTCCACATATAATATAGATATAGTGGCGATTTTACTTCTCATTTTTATTTTTGCAACATACACCTAATATTCGTTCGGATTCGTTCACGGTGATATAGATGGCTTGAAAACATCCGAGATTGGTGTATTTCGCGACAGCTTTGGTGGGGACACCGTGTGCCTGCATGGTATGTAACTGTAGAGGATGACGCCAGGACTGAGATGGGAGCTTATCCTGATCATTGGGTGGTAGCTCGGGATGAAGTGGAAGCAGAAAGTCTCGCTAAAGCTAAGTTTGCAGGGAAAACATTCAAGTTGGAGCAGGATCCTGATGTTCTGGATACCTGGTTTTCATCTGGATTGTTCCCATTTTCTGTGCTAGGTTGGCCTGAAGCGACCCCTGACATGAAGGCCTTTTATCCTACGTCTGTCCTAGAAACAGGGCACGACATTTTGTTCTTTTGGGTTGCTCGCATGGTGATGTTGGGATTGAAGCTCACAGGTGTGAGCCCCTTCAAGCAGGTACAGATCTGTACTTAAATCAGACGCGATTCTAGAGTCGACACGCGTATTTTGGTATTGAAATTTGTACTTCATCCAAATCCAACTGCTTTGCTTAATTTCTTTTTGACTTAAAACTTTCAATTGTGAACTGTTTTATTCAGGTTTTCTTGCACGCCATGGTTAGGGATGCCCATGGAAGGAAGATGTCAAAGTCTTTGGGAAATGTGATTGATCCACTTGAGGTTATTAACGGCGTAACCCTGGAAGATTTGCACAAACGACTTGAACAAGGCAATCTTGATCCTCGTGAAGTGGAGAAGGCAAAGGCTGGTCAGAAAGCTGATTTTCCGAACGGAATTGCTGAGTGTGGAGCTGACGCACTCCGCTTTGCCCTTGTGGCCTACACGGCGCAGGTACAGTGTTCTTGTTCGAATCTGATGACCATGTTAATTGCAAGTGAACTTTACTGTGTTAGAGTCGCTATTTATGCGGAATGTGAGGTTTAGTATAGAATTGTTTTGGTTAAAGCTCATGCGCAGTTAGCACCTTCTGCGAAGGTGGCCAGTTTATTCATTTGTTTATCAATTAAATTAATCTTCACTTGGTGAATATCTGTATACGTAAATATTCCGAGGTTGTTTACTTATGCTTGGGTGGATCTCATTGTTCAGGCGGTGAATATAAATCTTGATATTCTTCGTGTGGTGGGATACCGCCAGTGGTGCAACAAACTTTGGAATGTCATTCGTTTTGCCATGACGAACCTTGGTAGTGACTTTGTTCCCTCGGCCACCATTCAGCCTTCATCGCTTCCCCTTAGCTGTCAATGGATTCTCTCGGTACTCAACAAGTCCATTGATAAGACTGTCAAGGCATTGGAGGGTTACCAATTCTCGGATGCTACAACTGCCTTGCATTCTTGGTGGTTGTATGAGCTCTGCGATGTGTTCATTGAAGTCATTAAGCCGACTATGTTTGGAAACGATGAAGCTGCAAAGAAGGCCACCAGGGATACTCTGTGGTTATGTCTGGATACAGGTCTTCGCCTGTTGCATCCCTTTATGCCATATTTGACGGAAGAATTGTGGCAGCGACTTCCTCAACAAGAAGGAAGCCAGGCTAAGGTTTCCATATGTGTGGCAGATTACCCAGCTGTCAACCAGGTAGTTTCACTTGGTGGCCCTCAGTGAGCTCTAATTCCCACTGATCAGATTTACATTCTTTTGGTCGAAAATTGACACTCACGATTTCTAGTAACTGCGCCTTTCCTACCGTGTTGGACTTGTTAGGTTTTTAAGTACTTGTATAGAGGGCCATCTCTACTCTGAATCGTCATTTTTCGCAGAATGCAACTCGGATTATCTAATTTGTGTCGTAAACATCTGGATTCTGTGTCTTGTTTAGGAATGGACAAATGACGAGGCAGAAGCAGACATGGAGTCGATTAACGCAATTGCAAAAGCCACTCGGACGTTACGAATGGCGTATGAACTGCAGCCTAAATTGAGGTATTCAATTTGAAAGGCTTACAAGTTGGTTGGTGGTTGCGCACTCCGTGGTCCTTCAGGGTTTAATGTGTTTGTGAATATTAGTTTTCACAAGTCTAAAGAGCAACAGTGAATTAAGCATGACACCAGTAACTGGATTTTCAACACAGTATCACAATTGTTTTGTGTGTTGATTATTTCTTAGGACTAATTATTAAAAGTGCTAAATTGAAATTCCGTGGTTTTTGTGACAGGCCGGAGCTTTATGTTGTGTGTCGCACTGAAAGAGTTGCTGAGATTGTGAAGAAGGGAGCTAATGAAATTGCCACTCTTAGTCTATCTTCTTCCGTGAAGGTATTTATCCCGCGCTCTATTGCCTCCAGGATTTATGAAAACAGTACTCAAAATAAAAGAAAAAAAACAAAAATTGAGACTTGGAAAATTTGTATTTTTTCATTTCTTAAGCTTCTGCGGTCCAGTTTTATTTTCTCTGAAATCGAGCATTATCGATTCATGTTGTGGTCATCTTTTTTACAAAGCTGTTGGTAGAATATATTTTTGCTTCTCAGTTGTGAGATTTTCTTGACACAGGTTTTAGGAGAAGGAGAAGCTGCACCTCTCGGATGTGCTCTGGGTATTGTGGATGAGAACACGACAGTGAATCTGCTCTTACGAAATGTGGTGGATGCTAACGTAGAGATCTCCAGGTTGCAAAAGAAACGTGATGATCTTATCAGGTAATTTCGAAATGATGGCGTTTGTCTTTTTGCTTTCGAGATTCTGTAAATCATTTGCTTATTAATTTGTCCTCACACAATGTTTCATTAACGTCAGTTTTGATCATGAACCACTAATCTTGATGCGACATTTTCCACAGGCAACAAGATGCTCTCCAGAAGAAAACGAGTGTTGCTGGATATGCTGAGAAGGTTCCCGAAGCAGTCCGTGAAGAGAATCAATTGAAGAGTGCGAAGCTTGTTGCTGAGCTCCTGACTGTTGAGGAGGCCACTGCCAATTTTGAGAAACTGCTGATCAACAGTAGTTAGGAAAGTTATTAACATTTGTCAATTTGGACTGGTCCATTGACCAAAATATCTGGAGGATGAGTAAAAGAAGTGCGACAGCCTTAAGCTACTTGTTTAGCTCTGTCGATTTATGTTCCTTATCTGTGCCTCGTACGAGGAATTACTAGATATGTGATTGGTAACGATATTGCAGGCAAGTGTAGTTCTTGCGCTGCTATTGAGCTATTCTTTGGAAGTTAAAGTTTCAGGTGTCCGGATGAGTTTTTGTATTTTGGGAATTGAAATAGTTTTTGATTATTCAGTACGGTGACGAGGTGCTGATTTTCAACTTTCCATCCACAAGCTTGTGCTTATTTCAGTGGCTCCTTATCGAAAACTCACTGCTTCTGGTTGATTCTTCATCGTCGTCTTTTAGTGTGAATTGGTAACACTAGGTAAAAAAATGATGCATTGCACGAGCACACGTAAACACTATTTTTCTCCTATTTCTCATGATTAACTTTCGTTTACTGAAAATTGTAGGATATCTTGAACAATGTCTAGTGATAAATCTTTTAAGGATCCTGACTACTGACCATGATTTCCAAAAACATCCTACACATAGTACATAACACAACAATTTAGAAATCTAGTGTTACATTGGAATTTTAAAACAGTTTGAAAATCCAACACCTGATTAATGTATTATTTATTCTTGTGGTATGATTTCTTGTTACACACAACTGAAATCAAGTATGAAGTGAGACTTTTGGTGTTTCTGACAAAGTTCTATTGAGGATTCTTAAATTAAAAAAACTTACGATTGTTCTCAACATTTGCTCTTCTAACTTTTTTTTTTTTTTTTTTTTTTTTTTTTTAAAAAAATTTAATTTCTTTATCAACAAATCAACTTTATTTATTATTTTAATTTTCTGTATTAATAAGAAACAACTGAGTTTTTCTGAGATGGATTACTATTCTCGTTTGAATTCTAGAAAAGGCAAGTCATTCCAAACACTTACTGTGTAGAAGTTGTCTTCTAAATGAGAACACAAAAGTTAAGAATTTATCTAAAAGATTTATTTAACTTTACTTTATAAGATAGATAATACACATGGTTCTTTAGTACAAATTAACAACAAAAGTTATACAATAATCAAATTGAGAAAAGATATAATTGTGATACTTTGTACTAAGATCATATGAGACAATTAAATATTATAAATAATTCTATTTGAGCATTTATATAAAAAAATAAAAAATAAAAATTTTTATTTAATAGATTTTTTTATCAACTAATTTTGAAAATATGCTTTATAATCTTTTGTTAATTCACAAAGTTTTTTTTTTTAAAGAAATGAAAAAATATGATAAAAAAAAAAGTAAATTTAGGCTACATCAAATAGAATACATATAACCTTACAAGTTTGTCATAAATTTTGGAAATAAATTTTCAAATTTAAATTTTATGTAGTCTAAATATATTTAAAACTTGGTATATTTTTCAATCACATTATTCTAAATCATGAAGTTTTATGGCTACAAAAATATACAATAGAAATTATCATGCTTGTTTAAAAGTTAATATTATGTTTAATATATGTAATTACAAGACAGATACTATATTTTTATAACTAAATTAAGTTACATGCAAAAATACATATTTTATGCGATTTTATTTTAAATTTGAGTATGTCTACATTTAAAGCTAGTACAACATAAATAATTAAGATTGCTTTGATTATATAATTTGCAAAGCTTCTTATGTTCTTTAAGTTGCTTCTATCTATTTGAAAATTAATCTAAAATATAAATTCAAGTAATTAAAAAATTGAAATTAAGTAGCAACAAGATTCTAATCTTTAAATGTCATCACCATGGAAGTACAAAGCTTTTCAAGTATGGTTTAGAAAATCTTATGGTCAATTACAACAAAAGTATTGTTTCTATTAATAGTTTTACACTGAGCAAGGGCAAATACATTTCTTACATAATAGATCTTTTTAGAATTATACAAGTGGTACTGTTTGGCTAATTTAATATGCTTTAAATATTTAAATTTGGATATAATATAAATTTCCTTTACAAGAATAGATTCATTGGTCAAATATCCAAACCACAAGTCCTAAAATCTACTTTATAATCTTCTCTTTTAATGACCTATTAATAAGTGCTAGTGTGAGTGAACTTGTATATTTCTACTTGGTTCTACTTATGTAAGAGACTAATGTAAACTAAGAATCTAAGTTAAATGAAAATAGAATAAAATGATGTTGTTGCAATATATGTGATTTAAAACCAAAAATATAAAAATATTTGTGATTTTTGGAATTTAGAGCCAATTCAAAGATATCAAGAAATAAATTCTCTATTCGATTTCTTTTATTCAAACATTATTGTAGATAGATCATAACATAATGATTCATATATAAAACATCTTTATATTTATAAGATTAAATATAATCTTTTATAATGACAAAGCATGGACTTAAGTAATTGCATTTTGTTTTAAAACTTTTTAGAGAAATAAAATAAAAATAAAGTTTTTTTTATATTTTTTAAAAATAAAAATCCTAAATTAAGAAATATTTATAAAATATGAAGTAATAGAAATTTATTTAATTAAATATTAATATAAAAAAAAATCTTTAGAACTTTTGAATACTTGGTATTTGGATTCATGATTCATTAAATGGAGCTTAACACTCTAATAGACATAATATTTTTTTGAAGTAGATTTAAGAATTACAACAATGTCAATATTTATGTCAAATTTGTACTGAAAGATTATTGGTTTTATACAAAAGACACAAATGTTGGTATGCTTTTACAAAGAATTTATATGTTATGATTTTTTGAAAGCCTCAAATAAACAAATAGAACATTGAAAGCATTTATTGCATTTTTAATGAAAGACATAAAATAACCTACAAGCTTCTTTTAATTGAATTGTTTTTGCAATAAGTAAAGTAACTATTGAATTAAATGTACTAAAAAGAATTTGGATATTTTACATAAGAACTTATGTTGGATGACTTGGAATATTTGTTTTGGTTGATAGACATGTTTTGTAATTAAGAAAAAGAATTGTGTTGTTACTCAATAAATACATATAATTGATGTTTTTATCTTGAGATAACATTGTCTTAGTTGAATTTGATTTTGAATAATCAAAAGATTAATTAAGTAAAATACAGTTGGCTTAGGCATTTAAAATTTATATTTAAGATTCTAAACTTAAAATATAGAAAAAGTTATAACTAAGCAGATTACACAAAAAATATTTTTACAATATTCATGTTTAATTTTATAGATTATAAAAACCTAATTGTAGGATTCAGTTAGATTAGAAGTAAATAAGGAAGTAAATTAGTTTTAGAAGAACTAATTGATAATTTATTTGGTCATATATTAATGATGGATTTCAAGATATATCATCAAAAAATTACACTAATACAATTTATTATTATCTTAAGTAAAATCTACATGAAAATTTTAATGTAACAAATACAATGTTTTAAAACTACATTAGAAGATTCTTGATGTATCAAAAAAGTGAATTAAAATCAAGTAAGATCATGGTTCATCCATTTTTGCTTTGAATTCTATATGCAAAAAAATTATTTAAAAGAAAATTTAACTTCAATAAAATTTATTTGAAGTATGTAACAAGAATCTACTTTCTTTACATTACCAAACATAGAATTTTGTTCTACCTAATATTTTCAAATAAATAATCTAACAACTACTTTTTATAACCTACAAGTATGTATGTAAATTTTGTGATTATGCTTTGATTGTATACATTTTCACAATGTAATATGTGAAAATATTCCTATCTTGACATACATGATAATAATGTGATATTACACATTGTTCTTATAGGATATCTCTACTTCCATCTAAATCAAATAGTGTACATTGCAAAGAAGTTTTCTATACATATTTTTATAGCATTATAGGTTTTGTAATAAGACTATCCAAATTTATGTAATATTTTTTCTATTTGTTAAATCTTTCTACATTATTCTTATGATCAATCATTTATAGTTTAAATCAGTTTTTTAAAGTTTATATTTAAATTTAGTTGATATTGTTAAAAGAAAAACTATTCCAATTACAAACTAAGTTAATCATTATTTTTTTTTTACTACAAAAGCATTTGGTGATTTGATTATATATTATGTAATTATCTTTAATTTCTTTAATAATTGAATACACAAGTAGATTTTTTAGGAATTTTGATTTTATAGATATATCAAGTATTATATTATTATATTGGTTAACTAATAAAAATTAAGAAAAAATTCTTTATGTGAAATTATTCAAAAAATAAATAATAAATGCACAAGTTTTTTTTTTTTTTTTTTTTTTTTTTTTGAGATCTTCTAAATTATAATAGAATGAGTTTATTTATTATAATGACAGAAGAGATTTTCTAAAACATAATTATATAATTTTATGATTTATTTGTATTAAATTCTTAAAATATCTATAAAATTAAAAACAATTAAAAAATATATAATCAATGCAAATTATATATCTTTATTTTAATTAAAGTTGAATATTGCATTGATCTACTAATGGAATAATTATAAAACTAATGATATTTTTAAATATAGTTATGTTCAAAACATTACTATATCTATATTGTGCAATAGATATATCTTTGTTGATTAATAAAAAAATTCTTATATATTATTATTGTAGAGGTAAAAATGATATAAAAAATATTTTTTACTTTTTTTAAATTTTATTTATTTATTTATAAAGAATAATATTTTAATTTAATTTTTAAATTAAAAAACTATAATAAATGAAAAAATAAAAATAAATCAACAATTACTTAATACGAACTTAATTTTAACTTTATTAATATTAACATGTATGCCAATGATGTAATTTTAAAAATTCAATTATTCATTCTACACAATATCATATATAATTTTATTATAGAAAATTTGTTCCAAAAAATATTGTAAAAATTATGAAAAATATAGAATATTTTAAATCACATGAGTTAACTACCAAAGATTTAATCCATCCCCTCTATTCAATATTTCAATACTAAATTCTATATTTCAAGTGTCCACTAAATAAATTAAATTAATAAGAAATTTCTTTTAATCATACATAGAATTAATTATTGGTACATATATATGTATATATATCAATTTCATATTATTTCTAATGAATTACATAGTATAATTAGTATTTATTCATGTTTTTATATTTATATTTTATATATTTATTATTTATTTATTTTTTATATATTTATTTTTTATTTATCAACTATCTCTTTATCAAAGATTTGAAGCTTTCTATGTCAAATAAATATGTTCCTTTTATTAAGATTGTTAGGTACCTCCAAGCTTATGCATCTTATTCACATGTACTATCATTACAATTTTATAATAGATGCAAATCTATTGAAAGCTGAGACTCTTGTAGAAATGTACACTATGCTGTGCTTTATTCGGCTTTACATCTGCAGCTGGGGTCTCGCATGTCTTTGTTGACAGTATCGCCATCGTGCATGCGATACAGCGTGCGGAGTGTAATTACAAAAACTGAATACTGATTTGGAAACACAAACATCATACTTTCCTTTGAACATCCTCCCCAGGTTATGTACATTTTGGCACTCCGACCGACAATCAGTTACTTATATGTCACGGGAAATTTCGATGGAGTGTATCGTTGACAAAGCAGAAATGAATAAATTCACACTGCCGGGATGTTGTCATGGATTTCAGTCCACCATTGCAGGGCGGGAGCTGTCCCAAGGCCTCCCATTTTGCACTAACTTATCAAATATTGTCTATCTACTGCCCACTTGGTGCACAATGCAAGACGCGAAAGATTCCTAGACTTCCAATGATGTACATTGAATTGGAGAATGGATGAAAGAATACCGAACGAGTCAAGCCTATTGTTGCAGAAGCTCACGTCAAACCCCTTGATCTCACGGCACACAGACTTATCATCATCACTTCAAAATGAATTGCGGGATTCTCTACATGGGTTAAATTGCGCATTGCGAATTGGGAATACAACGCCCTAGAGCAATGCAAATGGAGATATTGCGGAAACTACGAGAACCAAGAGTAGAGAGAGTCTTGCTGACAAAGAGGGACTGCCATTAGGCAAGGTGGGAAAGTCCTGCGGCAGTGGGAGCACACACTGATCGCCGTTGAAATATACCCGGTCCGGAAAGGTCCAGCCATTTCTCAGAGTGAAATCCTCACCCTTTCGAAACAACAAGTCCGATTGTACATTTCCGTTGGGACCAGCTTCCATAAGCATATCATTGAAGTAAGTCACTCCCCAGAACATTGCCGAGTCATCTGCAGTGATACGAAACAAAATTACCGCTGATATGACCAAATAGGTCATTGAACAAAACCCCAGCAAGCGGCTGCCAAATACCAGGAAAATACAAGAGGAAGAGGGGGAATAGAATTCGTGACGAGGACTTACTGGAGTATGCACCATAAGGGTTCAACGCCTTGTATTTGTAGCTAAACGCTTCTGTCAGGTTATTAAAGTTGGGATGCTTAAGAGCCAGAGTCCAATTCGAGAAATTAGCCCCGAAATCTCGGTTGGTGATGGTGACCTTCACCCGCCAGTACTCTTTGTAGTTCGTCTTCACGTGCCAGTGGATCTTCACAGGGCACATGTCCTGGGTGCAGTACATGAGATGCGGCGCACTGGGAGGAGGAGGCGGACTGTTGCCACCTGAGATTACACTAGGAAGCTTGTCGTAGCGTGTGCGCCTGTTTCATAACACTTATGACAGTGTTAAGTGATGCTGTCCGATTAGGTCTAACCTAAACGCAAAACCTATTTTAGTCTGCTGAAAGAGTGGGGTACTCACGGGTCAATGCAGACCTTCTGGGCAGTCGCATCGGGGTCGTCAGATGAAACCGGCTCTGTAGGGTTCGTGGGCTTACAGGCGCACGAACACTCCGGGCACGACACAATCTTCTCGCTGTAAAATGCCGAGAAGGAAACACAACACGTTCGTGGTGTCATTGACAAAGACTGCGAGTAGCCGCATGTCACGTTCCATGTCACTGCGGCCACATGTCAAGCAAACGTCAATCAGTAGCGCAGCACCTTCGTCCCCAAGGATAAGGCAAGCTGTGATCCTACCGAGACAACAACTCCTGGAGAGCGGGATTGCAACGCAGCATTGGGCTGGAACCAGCTGGGAGTTCATAGAAAATGAACTCACTGAATGCTTCCGTGGATCTTCTACCGTCCGGCGCCAGAAACTGACTCTTCGGCACTTGCATAGCCGGACTGCAAGTGTAACCAGGGCCTGAAGAAGAAGAAGAGAGCGTAAAATTCTCCGGCAGCACGACGGTTGTATTCGTGTTACCCGCTCCTCCTACAGCGACTTGGAAAACAGCGAGTGCGTTCTCGGGATCCTGTCCAAACGACGGCAAGACACCTCCCTTGCAGCAGTTGGCGATTCTCATGCTCTCCGGAGGTAGGGGGAGAAGATCGATGACCACAGGTCTCCTGTCACAACAATGAGGGAGAGGATTGGAGTGGAACATCGAGCAATCTCCTTGCATGGTCGTCTGGGCACCCAACATCGACCATATGATTTCATTTTTCGCCCACGCCCAGCTGAGCTGCCACCCGGGAGCTTCAATGTGCCGATACATTTGCCAATTGAACATTGTCACGGTGGCCTACAAAACATCTTATTTGTTACAACATAGCAAAGTATTTCAGTTGGGATACTAGCGAACATGTGAAGCTGCCATTTTTCACCAGAGCACAATTTCGAGTCGCCGGACTGGTGGCATATCAAGAGTCCAATTCTCTTGCTCTCGAAGTGGTGCGAGTAGCTCTGGCCGCGGAGATGTGACGAGCATGCTACTGGTGCCAGTGCCACTACTTCAGGATTGTAGGCAAGGGAAGAGCATGATTCGTACCACGTAACCATCGCCGGTCCATGCAGTGATGTCCCACTTGATGGTGATGTTGCCATTTGGGTCAAGTGGATCAAACGCACATTCTGCGCACACCACAGCAATGACCACGGTACCGTGAGAACGGCATGGCCGCCGTTGTGGATGACCGGTTTCTAGCCACGGCCTGTAGCTGCGTAATATAATCTACATGGCAATGCCATTTGCAATGTTCCTCACTTAAAATCTCTGTGACCAGCACAGCACTTACCTGCGGAAGGAAACGCCGAAAAGAGAACCGATGCCGATATTAGAGCAATAAACCAGCGGCTGCCCTTCATGTTTTTCAGGATTCTCAGCTTCCCTCTCTCCCTCCCTCCCTCTCTCGCTCCTACAATGCCCTACAGCCAGTTTCCTCCTACACGGTGTATTGTGCTTATGCTCTCTGCGAGCCAGCAACCGGTCCAAGCAATCCAACCCCCCCGGCTCAACAGCAGAGACTCTAGTATTTTTTTCTCCTTGCTATTCGAGCATGAAACTCCTGCACATCGAGCGGAACAGCGGGCTACAATTTTGACATAAGCCCAGTCACTCACTTCGACCCACAGTCCGGCGCACAGCATCTACCACAATGCGATCACGAACTCTCACGCTCAGACCCCACAAGCACGTAGATTAGCATTGATTCTTTCTCACTCAGAGCCTCCGAGCTCTTCGACTGGCAGCCCGGGGGGGGGGGGGGCACTGGACGAACCATCGCGGGCCATTAAACGGTACTGTTGTACAGACCGCGCAAACCCTGCAGACCTCAAATTTAGTCATCGACACAATCCACTAATGGAATCCAACCACCTGCAAAGCTAGTCCCACAAACCACGCCTTTCGGAACTCATGCTCTGGCCCGATAAATTTAGATCACGAAAGGTAACATGATCGCCTTTTTCATCAGCCGTAGTCCGAGCCAGGAAGTCCTCCCGGCACCATCACACCCACTCCGCAGATTGTGCCAACCCACGTCGACTGCGAACAACGTTAGTCTTCAATATTGCCTGACAATCCATCGATCCACGTCCGGAACTCGGTTTCAAGCTCCAGATCGTCAAAGCATCTGGGTCCGTCGCATCTGATGCACGCGAAAGGATGTGCGGTGGCTGGCCGGGACTGGATCTGTACCAGGTCGCACTTCAATTCCAAGTAGTGCGCCGCACTAGATTCCACGGCGCCTCCAACTCCACGCGCGAGAAGAAACTGCTTCGGCATCCACATCGAGAAGGGGCTCCCGTCATCGACCCATTTGCTCGTTGATTTGTTGATTATTTCATTTATTCATAGTCATACCCGTTCCTTCATCAAACCCCGTACTTGATCGTCGACTTCGGCGGCATCGACGACGACGTGCCCATCCTCGTGGATGTGTCGAGCTCGTTTTTATTTATTTATTTATTTATAATAATCCACTGGAGGAATTTTTCCTTCTTTCATCCATTTTCCTCCGTTTCGACGTTGTGTGATGTTCTTTAATGGGGCGATTTCAAGTTCCTTTGCATTGTATTGTGTGCGTTTTCAATTTTTGGAGATAGGCAAAGTGAGCAATACTAAAGAGTTTGATGGCTAATTTAAATAGTTAACTTTATGAGAGCACTTGATCTTTAACCACTTTACTACATCATGTAGAGTAATGTAGACTAAATTAGATTAATGAATTATAAATGATTAAAAAAACTGTAAATTCAAATAGAAGATGTTGCACTAATTAAGAATCTACTTTTATTCTTTAAATTTATATTTTTGTTGTACAATTATCAAACCCTCATTCTTTAAAACAAAACATGTTAATATTGGAAGCTATGTTAGAGAACATTTCAAAATCATGATGCAATAAGAAGGTTCTAACTTTGTTAGATTTAAATTAAAACTATAACTATGAATAATTATTTTTATTAATTAAGATGATAAAGATTTAGAATCTAAAATGTTGTGTTTGAAGTTTTAGAGTAATTCAAACAAGTGCTTATTATATTACAATATCTACATAAGATGTAATCAACATTATTATTACACTACAAAAAATGATATAGATACAATTACTTGAGTAAGTATTAAATGATCTTACTAGTCTAGTATCAATAAAAGAATATAAAAACAGAAATCACAACAACAAATAATAATGTAGAATGAATGCTTTACCAAATGGTAAAAACCAAGTATGGAAAAAAATGCCCAAATTAATGATAAATGCACAAACAAGTCCTTGGAATCTTAAGACAACATTATATACTACAAAGCAAAGACACAATCTAATTCATTGTGGTAAGTAAATAAAAATAATGTCTACAATACTACACAATAGTAGCAACCAACTAATAATTTAATAGCAAAGAAGAAAAAAAAAATGAAAATATCAAAAATAACATGCTTAATATTTACAATGTTGTATTTGAGATACTACTTTGATTTGAAATACTACAGAGAAAGATAAAGGAAGAAGACATATTCCACATTCCAATATGCCTATACATAATAAGATGTCCCATAAGGATTATTTGGAAGTAAGTTATACAACTCCTATTGAATGAAATAACTTATCAAGTAATTAATCAATGAATTGGCATCAAAGTAGATACAATTTAAGAAAATTACAAGAAAACACAAGCCATATATACATCTATACAGTTAAGAAAATATAATGAAAGTTGAAAAACTAACTTAAAAAAAAAAAAAAAAAAAAAAAAAAAAATTCATATTTCTCAAAAAGCAATCTTTTGCACAGTTCTGGATTTTTTCCTTTCTAAATACTCTTTGATATAAAACTAGTAATAATCTTGCAAAATTTTTGAAGTCTCAAAATTTTTTCTAAAATACTTTTGGTTTGTAGTTATATTTACAATATTAGATTTTGGTATAATTTATTAGTACTTTAGAAATAAAAGTGTTGTTATAAAATATTTCAATGATTTAGAAAATTATTTTTGTCTAAAATTATTTTTTTATAATTTGAAAAAAGATCGAAGACATGTATTGGATTAAGATAGTACAAGGGCTAGAAACAAAGAGTATTTTTATTTCTATACATTTAAAATATTTAGTAAAATATTTGGATGACTTATGACAATAAGGTATTATGAATTACAATCAAGGACAATTTTTACAAGAATTTGGATCTTATTAATGTTCGTACTTTAAATATACACAAAAAGAGATACCAACTTTGAATTGAATTAGAAAAATTTCTTTCAAGAAGTATTTTAAAGATTTTTTGAAGCAATTGGAATAAATCAAAGAATAAAATGGATATATTAACTTCTTTTCGAATGATTTTGGTAAGTCATGAATTAATTCATAAAAATTCTTCAAATCTCAATAAAATCTTAAGATTTTATTTATATTTTCTATTAGAAAAAAATTAAAATGTTCTTGAAATAAAAATAAAAATAAAAATATTATTAGCACTAGCTGATAGATTTTTCAAAAATAGAAAATTACTTCTGAAATAATAAATAAAAATATATATTTTCTTCTTCTTGTCTTAATTTTATTGAATAAAAAGATATAAAATCTATAGAAATGATTTACAAAGAAATTTAAATACAACATTAATAGTCTTTATTTATCTTTTTTTTTTCTTTAATATTTATCATAAATTATATATTTCTAGCAAAAGATACCAAAAAATGCATTGAATCCTATAGGTAATTTCTATGCTAATTAAAACTTGATTTTGTAAAAGAATGGTTTAAGTCTTATGTAAATGTTTAGATGCTTTTGTTTGAACTTATGGCAATTGCACCATACACAGATTTATTTAAAAAAGATGCTTCTGTATGTCATATTTTTTTATTTTATTAAAAGGATTTCAACCTTGTAATTTATGGTGCTATTTAAAATATTCAAATTTTTCAAATTAAAATTTTATAAATTACAAATAAACAATGTATTAATTAATACACATGCATATCAAGTCTTTAAAACAAAAAAATGTGGTTAATGTAATAAGAATCTTTAATAATTTTTGTAAGGTTAATATATTTAAAATAAATGGGACAAAATTGGTTACTCATTAGCAATATAATAAATTATAAAGACCTCTATAGAAAAATTAGTTTAAACAGTATTGATAGCATTGATGAATATGAGCACAAATATATATATATATATATAATTATTCATATTTATGCTAAATATAGATAAATTTTATAAAGAAAATATAAAGAAATATCTATAATTCTTTTGGTTAACAAAAACGAACATGAAAAGAAGAATTATTATTTTTAATAAAGTTTTTATAAGCTCTAAAATAAATTTTATCCACTTGAATTGGTTTTTTTAATATTATTTCAAAAATAAAAATAAATGGTAAAAATAATCTAATATTTTATATATATTAAATAATTTTAGAAAATTTGTTGCAAATCTTAAAAAGTTGGAAACTAAGGCATTAAAGATCAAGAATAATGTATAGAAATTCTATTAGTTTATAAAAAAAAATCATCAAATTAGAGGTTTAGATGTTTAATTTTTTATAAAAAAATGGTTTATAATGATAAAATCAAATTTTTCAAGGATTTGGTGGCTTGAACTGAATATTCTTTGTTGAAAAAACATAAATAAAAGTTGAGATCTAAGATTTTATATTATTATATACAAAATAATAGACTAAAATATTTATACTTTTGTAATTAAAATTCTCTATTAATTATTATATAGTAGAGAAATAAAATTTTGTAATAAATTATCTACTATCTACTAATGGATGATTGTACTAAATCTATAAAGTAATTTTCTTTTTATACAAAAATAGACTTTTTTAAACCAAAGACATATTTCAAGAATACAACCTAGTCTTCAAATTATATAATGAGATTAAAAAAATATTTTGGAGAATAGAAAATACTATAAATGTATTATATAATTATATTCAAGAAATTGGATAAATATAATAAAAAATAAGATATTATATTTTAAACTTAATAATTAGATTATAAGAATATATAGATGAATACATCCTTATAAGTATATTCCAACTATAGCCAAATATTGTATGAGTAGAATAAGATTAACAATATGATTTTTTAAAAGCTCCTAAATTTGAACTTTATCAAATAGTAGGATGACTAAAATGCTACATTATAAGTTATCTACAACTCAAGGAAATATAAGCTTATGTAAAAAGAGAGAAATACTTGATAAAGTAGAAGACTTTAGTAAGCATATGAGAATCATCTTTGAAGCAAAAAGAATTTATAAAATAGATATAAAAATAATATATTTATAATTTTGATATTATAAAAGATTTTCTTATGATTTCAAAATGTATTGATACTCCACTAATTTTGAATATATGACTTATTTTTCAAAATTAGACAAAAAAACATAATATTCATGGTTATTAGATATGAAGTAAATTCAAATTATAATTGGTACTATTATTTTATTTTATTTTAATTAAAAAATTATACGGTTATGACCAAGAGTACAAAATTATATTATGCTTGTGTAGCTTATGTAGCAAAAAAGAGTTGTAGTTTATGTTTTGAAAGTATAAGCCAATATTTATATGTTAATAAATTATCATCTTTATATGTAATGTATATTAAAAATAATTCTTTACTGATTTTAGAAATGCTTCTACAAAAAAAAAAAAAAATGGAATTAGGCCTAATATTTAATGTATATCTTGATATTAAATCAAAAGATTTAAAAACCTTAGAAGTTCTTAAAATTAGATCAAATCATATTTTCTTGAAAAACAATTCCT